AAGAGCTTGGTATGAGCGCCTTCGGGACTTTTTCATTGAGAAGGGCTTCACCATTGGGAAGGTCGACACCACACTATTCACCAAAAAGCTTGATGGGCATATCTTCATTTGTCAAGTGTATGTTGATGATATCATCTTTGGATCATCAAATGAAGATTCTTGCAAAGAATTTGGTGAATTGATGTCGAAAGAGTTCGAGATGTCAATGATTGGAGAGCTTACATTTTTTCTTGGTTTTCAAGTCAAGCAAATAAGAGAAGGGATTTTCATCTCTCAAGAGAAATATACAAATGATCTTCTCAAAAGATTCAAGATGGATGAATATAAGCTAATCAAGACACCATTGCCAACTAATGGACATCTCGACCTAGATGAGGGAGGTAACAAGGTTGATCAAACTCTCTACCTCTCTATGATTGGTAGCTTATTATATTTAACCGCATCTAGGCTCGACATCATGTTTAGTGTGTGTATGTGTGCTAGATATCAAGCTAATCCTAAGAAAACTCATTTAATTACCGTAAAAAAGAATCCTTATGTATCTTAAGCACACACCAAGCATTGTCCTTTGGTATCCTAAAGGAGCTAGATTTGAATTAATTGGTTATTCCAATTCGGATTATGCCGGATGCAAAGTTGATAGAAAAAGCACATCCGGAGGGTGCTATTTGCTTGGTAGATCACTTGTGTCTTGGTCCTCCAAGAAATAAAATAGTGTGGTCTTGTCCACCGCCGAAGCGGAATACATTGCCGCGGGTGCTTGTTGTGCACAAATACTTTATATGAAACAAACTTTGCTAGACTATGGTGTAGTTCTAGAAAAGGTATCTCTTTTGTGCAACAATGAAAGTGCGGTAAAACTTGTAAATAATCCGGTTCAACACTCTCGCACCAAGCACATAGATATCCGCCATCACTTTTTTAGAGATCATATTGCAAAGAATGATATATCATTACAAGTTTAGCATCGTCTCTTTGGAGAGAACGATCTGGATGTACTTTGCCGCACGGAGTGGAGGTACTTGGAGACCGCCTCCTCTTCGTCGATGGTGACGACGTGGCTCTTCAGCTTGCTGATTAGCGTCTGTAGGCGGAGGGAGAAGTCCTCCACCGTTTTACCATCTTCGAACTTGAGGTTGGCGTACTCCTGCTTCAGAAGCTGGGCCGTCGCCTTCTTTACGCGGTCGGAACCGACGCGCATCGCTGTAATAGCCTCCCACGCCTCCTTAGCAAAGCTCTTCGCCCCCAATGGCTCCCTGTACTCCGCCGGTACAGCAGCGAGGATAGCCTCCAATGCTAACATGTCATCTTTCTCGTTGTCGGTGCCCTTGTCAACAGCATTCCAGAGCCGTCGGGCTCTGAGTTTGACTTTCATGGTCACCGACCACTCTCCATAGTTGGTGCGAGTCAGCGTCGGCCAACTGGTGCCGCTGACCTTCCGCACCGTGCGAACAATGACCTCCGGTCGTGGCTGGGCAGCCATAGCAGTGCCACTGCTGTCGCCCATCTCCGAACCGTTCGTCATCGCTAACGGTTAGTCCGGCGACAGCGCTTGTACGGCTCCGATACCAATTGTTAGCCCACGGGATCACCGGTTCAGGTGAGTCGACTACTCTCCAGTCTTGCCGAACACCCGCTAGTGTTGCCGAGCACTCACTAGCTATGTCGACCACGAACAAGTGTTGTCCGACCACACACACTATGGCTAGAGGTAGAAGAAGAGGGAGAACAGAGCATACACACACAGTACAAGCATCAGCGTTGGCCGGAGCCCTGTATAGGAGATGGCAAATCTGAACTCTCTTTATTGAGTTGTAGTGGCAAACAACATATACAACTATATCCATCTAGTTCTAGTACAGCTGCCCTGCTGCAACGTGACTAGATAACACATCAGGACTGACTTCTACGCTGCGCCTATCCCTGCATGTGGCTATAGTCCAGCAGGTGAGCCCTTCGACGCCTGCCTCTACAGCGGCACCACAGCAGAGAGCTTTTTCGACGTCGTATTCCATTGCTATGTGTTCACACATAGAAAAAATAGATTATCTAACAGGTGATTCAACTCGGGGAGAATGTGTGGACATCGTCAGAACTGTTGAGATCATGACAAGTCGAGGATGTATGTGACGCAAGTGGTATGCAAAGTTTAACTCCGATCCTCGAACGACCGATCGAGCTAGCTAGCTAGGCATCTAGCTCGCTAGTCACTCTTTTTGTAGCCATGGATGAGAGCTGGGAGCTAGGTCCGACGGATGGCGACGGAAATACGTACACACACGACGCCACATGGTCCAAGGGTGTTGGCGTCGCGTTCGGCGTCGGCGTCGGCGTCGCGTTCGAAAGGAACGCCGGGCCGAACGGGAGCGCGCAGCAGTGCCGTGCAGAGCATGCCGCTTGCGCTGGTCCAAGGGTGTTGACCGTACGTTCGTTGAGAGTTGTTGCCTTGTTGGACGATTGTCGATTGACGGATTGAGGACGTACGACTGTGGTTAGCAGCAGCACCGAGATCGATCAGCAATCGTCGTCGGTCGTCAATCAATTATTCAAAACCATTTCCATCGACCCTCCGTCGCTCCTTTTCTCTTTACCGACTAGATCTGATCTCGTGCCAAAGCGCAAAGCGGGCACGAAAGTGAGCTAGAGATCAGAACGGCATCTGGGAGATCGGACGCTAGATTCATCCGTCGTGCAGTGACTCGTCAGAGAGAGTGGTGGAAGCTGCTGGGGTTGACAGGAACAGGGTGTGGAGTGGACGTGTGGTGTGGCGATGCCGCCACGCACGCCGGCACGCGGGCTTGGGTGGTGCGTGTCGCCGTCTCACACAGCTAGATGCCTTGCGACTTGTGATGACTTGGGTGCGCTGGCCGTCTCTCTCGTCCCGGTGTTGCCGCAGAGCCGCTGTCATCGTCTCCATCGGCTAATAACCGGCCCGGGGATCATCAAGTTTTGCGGCCTTTTCGTCCGGCCGGTCAAAGTCGAGCGTCTTGCCACGGAGTTTACTACGAGGGAAGACGATGATGGTGGCGTTAGGATTAGTGGATCGATCACAGTGCAATGATTGATGTGATCGATGAAGGCACTAGTGGAAACTACCAGCTAGGCTAGGATATGCCACTATACTAGGATAGGTTCGTTTTCGCGGCAATGCTAGCATTAAGCATTTGATGATCTCCTTGCATGGGCCAAGCACTTTGGGCAGCGATTTGGCACCGGATAACATGCATGGCCAAGCAAAAGTTAGTTATTTGTCTGCGTCCATTCCAGCTGGAGCTAACACACACTGCACAGTGCACAGTGCGAGTTCGTTACGGATGTAGGGTCTGTTCGGCTGGTATTAAAGCCGGCTAGAGCTGTTTTGTTGTGAGAGAAAAATATTGTACATTTTAGCTGATAAGTCGGCTAATAAGTTCAAGCGAACAGGGCCGTAGGTGTGCTGGTAGTGGTAGATAGTGGCGAAGTTGCACGGGGGACTTCTCTTTAATCGACTGAGACAGAAAGCCTAATGCATATGGCTTCTGTTTAGTATCACCTTGTTAAAGTGTAATCACTGTGTTGCAAATAAATAGGCCCTAGTATATATTGTGGTGCTGCTAGCCATGCCCTCTTGCCTGCATCAAGTGGGTCTGGGTTGGGCCTGTTGTGTTCCATCGCTTTTCTCAGCTTTGGGAGCACAGACACAAGCATATGCTAGTGCACCCTTGCTGTGTTGCAGATGATTCCTATACATGCTTGAATCAAAGCAGAGACACATTGGCAGGTTTGAGTTTAATGGTGGTGATCTTGGCCGTCCAGCAGGGCCCCCCCTATCCCTCTCCTCCTCCATCATCATCATTCCATCGGTTAAGTTGTTGTGTGCTGATGCAGTGTCGGCACCCACTGGCACGACACAATAGTACTCGAGTTTAAGGCAGGTCCAGTACCTGTACGTCCACCTCTACATATACATCCATAGTGTGCTGCTCTGTTTTGATTTGGAAACACTTTGCAAGCATTAACAAAGAGCGCGCACACACACACTCTCCATTTTCAGAAACGAACACAGCATCTCGTGTCAGTTTCGTGGAACCGGCGCGGAATCACGCAAGGGATAGATAAAGAACAGCAGCAAGCATCGGTCGCAGATATCTAGTACCATAAGCAGACGCAACTTGCTCATGTACGCGACACCACTACACCCAAAGTAGTAGTAGGTGCCGGTTCCCTTTACAGGCGCAAAGAAAGTCACAAGGCGAGGTGGTGAAAAGTGAGGACCAAGGAAGGAGACGACGAGAGCCGGTCACTCACGTCCGCCTCCAATTCTAGACACCTATCCTGCCCTGAGAGACTGGAAAGCTCCCCGCGAAAAAATCACATGGAAAGTCGCCGGTGGATCGCAAAGCGGTGGAGGAAAAGGGCAGCCACAGCGCACGAAATGTGCTCATCCTCGCCGGAGGCCGGAGCGCCTGCCGGGGCTAAGTAACCGCCGGAACGGACCCGTGTCGGGCGCCGGGTCGGTCGCGCTCGTTCGTTTATACTATTATTAAATTATTAAATCAAATGATGACATGTGATTAGCCAGGTTGACAGAGCGCTCGCGGGGACGGTGGAGATGGTGTTGCAACGGGCGGATCACGTCCGGCGCGTGATCTGGACCGTCCGATGCCGATCGGGTGAGTGACCGAGTCCTGTGCCGTGGGACCCGGCTCTGCAGTCTGCACGGGACAGTGGTCGCCGGATACCGCCGGCGCAAAAGGCGAGGCGCTGCTACATGCATATACACCTGTATCTGCGCCAGGCAGACGGGCGAGACGCAAAAGTTTTGTTGGCGAAGGCGCCGTGGCGTGGCGAAAGGGCGCCGCGCCGCGCAGGCGTCACGAGGGCGAGGCTATAAAAAGCTGCCCCAGGCCAACCGTCTCGTTCAAGCGCTCTGCTCGACCGCTCTCTGCTCTGCTCTGCCGGTCTTCCCATTGCGTTGCGTAGCGCCCGTAGGGTGAGGTGACATGAGGAGCGGCCGGCGGATGGCGGCCGGCGCGCCTACGGCGGCGCTGGTGGCGCTGGTGTGGTCGTCGCTGGCGCTCGCGGCGGCGGCGCAGAAGTACAATGCCATCTTCAACTTCGGCGACTCCATCACCGACACCGGGAACCTCTGCACCAACGGGAGGCCGTCGTCGATCACCTTCACGCAGCCGCCCTACGGCGAGACCTACTTCGGCACGCCGACGTGCCGCTGCTGCGACGGCCGCGTCATCCCGGACTTCCTCAGTACGTCACGCCTGCCCCCTCGCTAATTAATTCCCCTCTGGCTCGATCGATCTCTTTCTCTCGCCCTGGCCCCACTGTGCTGTGGGCCTGTCTGCGGGCTGTGGATGCTGATGTACGGTGGTGGTCCGCCGCTCCCACGCAGGCTCCAAGTTCGGGCTGCCGTTCCTGCCGCCGTCCAAGTCGACAACGGCCGACTTCAAGAAGGGCGCCAACATGGCCATCACCGGCGCCACGGCCATGGACGCGCCCTTCTTCCGCTCGCTCGGCCTCTCCGACAAGATCTGGAACAACGGGCCCATCAGCTTCCAGCTGCAGTGGATCCAGCAGGTCTCCTCCGCCGTCTGCGGGAACGGTGAGTACATACAGTACGCCGGCCGTACGCGCAGCCCATGCGTGCCAGGCCATGAACGACTTTAAAGCCTGTCTGTCATTTCTCTGCTCCCTTCCCTGGTCCCCTGACGATCAATTGGCCATCACTGTCGTCGATCGAGCGCAGACTGCAAGAGCTACCTGGGCAACTCCCTGTTCGTGTTCGGCGAGTTCGGGGGCAACGACTACAACGCGATGCTGTTCGGCAACTACAACGCGGACCAGGCGAGCACGTACACGCCGCAGATCGTGAGCACCATCGCCAACGGCGTGGAGAAGCTGATCGCGATGGGCGCCAAGGACATCGTGGTGCCCGGGGTGCTCCCCATCGGCTGCTTCCCCATCTACCTCACCATCTACGGCACCTCCAACAGCGGCGACTACGACAGCCTCGGCTGCCTCAAGAAGTTCAACGACCTGTCCACGAACCACAACAACCAGCTGCAGAGCCAGATCTCCAGCCTCCAGGCCAAGTACAAGTCGGCGCGCATCATGTACGCCGACTTCTACTCCGCCGTCTACGACATGGTCAAGAACCCCGGCAGCTACGGTACGTATATACATACTCTTGCCATGCTCCCTCCTCCTCGTACTCGTCGTCCCCGACCTCGTGTCCGCCCCGCCGACCGCCCGACGCACGCACATGTGGTCGGATAGGGGACGGGACGGGACTATGGGAGTCAAGTGGTGACGAAACACGCTAGCAGTAAACGGACGGGACGCTAGCTCCAGGCGGCTAGGCCGCTCTGACATCTGCAAGCGCGTTGTCACGTACGTCGAATCATCCGTGACGACTGCAGGCTTGGCTTTTATTTAACAATTAATGAGCAGGCCAGCTTTAAAACAGCGCGCGTTGGCGCGCTTCCGGCAGCTCCCCGTGTGCCCCGTCCGTCGCAGAGCGCCTTTCAATGCGTCGTCCTGGCAATCAGTCACCTCACCTACGCGTATTTTTGCGCGCAAGCGCGAACTAAACTAAGGCCGCCCGCCCGTTCGAGTCGAGCATCCGGATAGAATCACGTCACGCGGGTACTGCCCGTGCAGGCCAGCTTTCAAACAGCGCGCTCCATCCATCCATCCATGCACGACGCGGTTGGCCCCGTCCGTCGCAGAGCTGCCTCTTCAATGCGTCGTCCTGCCCAGTCACCTCTACGCGTGCGCTGCGCAAGCGCGTGGGGCGTGTCCGCCGGCCCGTTCGAAAAATGGAACAGGGCCGCGCTTAGATTGACGGCTGCCTGCCCTGCCGCTGCCGCGCATTTGTTTAGGTGCCGGATTTCGCACCGACGCGAGATCGCGAGAGACCCCACCCAACATTTGCGAACTGAATTACCAGCTGGGGCCGGGGACACTGCTCCTGCACGTTGCGCGAACGCCCAAAATTAATGAGCGCCGACGAAAAAACTTTTGAATTTAGCGCGATACGCGCCGCGCCAGGCATCATGTCACGATGCGGGGAACAAGAGCAAGCAAAACAAGACGCCGCACATCCATCCATCCTCCTGCTCGTGTAGATTCTCACTTTTTCTCTTTTTTTCATCGCCTAAATCTTTGCCTGCGCGCCCCTCCTCTTTGCATTGCAAAATACTCAATTACATAGTTCCAGACATGCTGCGGGTCGGGCGGCGGCAAGTACAACTACCAGAACAGCGCGCGGTGCGGCATGCTCGGGCGCCTAAACCAGGCATGCTACACTGCATGGCGCACCTCAGCTGGGACGGCATCCCCCTTGCACCGAGGCCGCTGCAAGCGTGATCACCGACGGCGGGCTAGAAAAATGGACAGGGCCGCGCTCACGGCCCGCCCGGCCATCCTCCACAGCTTTGTTTAGCCCGGATCTCGCACCGACGCGAGGCGAGAGGGGACCGATTAATGCGAACTTTATTTATTGGGGCCGGGGACACTATATCTTCTGTGCACGTTGCGCGAAAAAGTGTCTCCGCCTGCAGCATCTGCCGACGAGTTCTTGCGCGCTCCGCGTAATTTATTATATCATGGCGATGCTGGTCAAGATTTACAAATCAAATGGTACTGCTTTCCTCCTGCTCGTGTGGTCTCACTTACTCTGGTCTGCCTGCCTGCGCGCCCTGGTCTTTGCTTTGAGAAAACTCAGCACGGTGTTCCAGACATGCTGCGGGTCTTACGGCGGCAAGTATGTCACCAGAACAGCGCGTCGGGGCCCATGTCGGCGCCTCCGCAGTGGTCTTTGCGGCGGCGCACCTCAGCTGGGACGCATCCACCTCACTAAGGCCGCCTATCACGGGCAGATCACCGACGGCTGGCAGAATGGAATGCCACCAAAAGCCGCCCAACATCCTCCACAGCTAAGCCAAGCCCATCTTCAGGCAGGGGCAGCAGAGCGAGGGGGACCGATTAATTATTATTTTTTATTTATTGTTGCCCAGATATCTTCTGTGTTTACGTTGCCGGGGTAAAAAGTGTCTCGGCAACTGCATGCATCTGTTCCTTGTTCTTGTTCCTCCCTGTTGTAATTTATTATATTATGTATACTGGTCTTCATTTACAAATCAAATGGTATAGGTTTTCATGGAACCAAAGGAACTTTTTTTTACTCTGGTCTGCCTGTGCGTGGCATGTGGTCGGGGCTTTTGAGAAAACTTTTCCAGCAATCACTCTCTGACGGTAATTCCTGTCTTACGCTATCCATGTCACATTGTCACCCGTCAGGGCCCGTGAAGGCCGTGACAGGGGTCTTTGCGCAAGGCTCCAACGCTGCAACGCGCCATCACTAAGGCCTAGCTATCACGGGCTCGTGGCCAATTCAGAATGAGAATGCCACCAAAAGGAAACTGCAACACCTCGCTCCAAGTATCTGTTTCGTTTCATCCATGTGCCGCTACCCCCGAGCACAGCTGCACAACAAACCTTTCAGTGCCCAGACAGCGAAAGCTGTTTGACTGATGAATATGAACACGGTTCCTTCCTAATGAAATTAAATGCATCTGAGAAAATTCGTCGAAGTTGTTGGTTCAAGTGGCCTGAATTATTGTGGACGATTGGACTTCACATCAGGAACAGCTAGAGTGACCAATCACTTTGGCTTCGTATTTAAATGTTTATCCCAATCTCAGATCCATGCCACACAGCTGGAGAGAAACGCACAACATTACTCCAGTCCCCATAACAAGGGATTCTCTTCTAATAAGTATAATCATGGCAAGGCTCTTGCCATATTTTCGAGAAAAAATATACCTCGAGCTAACCACCTACAAGCAGACTACAAACTCCCTTAAAAAAATAATTAAATTGCAAAGGCACAAATGAAAACGCTGTCACAAGAATGTAGAATGAGAATGCGTTGCTAGAGTGATCACCCTCAAGACTCAGCTTGCTCGCTGGTTATGGATCAGAGGAAATAGACGACTCAGCGTTTACTCCAAAAGGAGAATCTCAGACTATATCCCTAATTTCAGTCAGTCACAGCATCAGAAGGTGTATGTATGGTCTATCCGGCTATCAATTGCCAATGCATTCTTTCCTTCTACTTTCTATACAACAAAATTCCTTTTCGCTACGATACAGGATGAACATTCCAAACGTCGATCACGGTTCCAAACACATCTACTGAGTGAGGGCAGAGGTCAACTATCAGATCCGTAGTTTGTGCTCCAACCAAGAAAACATCAATCCTCAGACTCAGACACCTCAGCTGCCACAGTTGGACCACCTGTGCACTCTTTTCTTTGATGAAGCTCTAGCATTTTTACCTCTGGGTGGCATAGCCCTGTGTCACACAGATTTGGACGTTAGCAAAAGGCCCCATATTTGAACTGATAAAGGTCTAATAGGAAAGGGTATGAAGATCAGCTTCTATAATTCTCTAGTCTTATAAAAGCATCCCTCAAAATTATTTATCGTTTATGAACTAACACTAGTACCTGCAGAACCTATTTACAGGTTAGTTTAATTAATGCTTACTATTTTTGGTCTTCATATGTACATTTGATTAAAGATTCTAATGTACAATATGAAAATATGCATGTTAGCCAAGTCATTACAAGGGAGCATGAAAATGTACAGATGCCAATCTATCTAATAAGAAATAAGAAAGGAAATAACCTGAGCATTTTGGAATGTCCCAAACAGCAATTGAAGACTCCGTGCAGTCAGGTTCACAAAGTGCATGTGTGTTCTCATGGTTAACGTTCATAGCAAGCATCCACGATCCAATTGTAACGTCCTCGTTGCTGAACATACGGAAACTGGAGAAAACAACAACAACAAACAAAGACTTTTAACAGCAAATAAGATTACTAAACCAGAGGTTTGACAGTGATTTAATAATGCTACTATGTGAGAAATTGAGTCTCATAAAATCTTCTGGTGTTTCTTATCTAAAAATGTCAGTTTCCTTGCTATTCCTGTAGCAGTTCTATCCCCAGGCTCCAGGGTTTGTGACTTCAATATAGCATTAGCAACCAATGATCCTTGTTTGTTGCCATAGTAGTATAGTACACCTTCACCAGAGATAGATTATAGGAAACAGAGAGTATAGCTTAATGCTACAACACAGATTTATACATTATAGATGAAAGAAGCATGACCACATGTCATACTGATTAGCAGGTACAGGTTTCAGTTAAAATCACTCCATATAAATTTGAAGAGAATGTTATGCTCCAGTCTTTCAGCATTAGGACATCAAAATATTCAATCTTGCGAGAGCAATGTTTTCTCACCATGATTTGTTTCTCAATTTCACACACACAATATAATCAAAGATGTTTCAAGTATAATTGCTAAGCGAAAGAAATTTTTGTGGCAACCATTAATACAGGTATTCCAGTCATACCAGCCAGTACAGTTTCCCAGAAACTAGTGCATGAGTTGGAAAGACTAATTTGGTGGTAGTACAAATGCAAAGACAAACAATCATATTTGATTAGTACAAGTAAGAAACATGTGTATGTAGAAAATAATTGCAAAAAAAAAAAGGTAAGTTTGTGTTTCATGATAAGATGGGCAGAACATTCACTGCAACTCACCTGTTGTTTCTCAAAGCAACCAAGCTAGCCACCACGTCAGCTGATAAAGCATAAATTGGCCCATATGCATGAAGGAAGTATTCCGATCCAAGTAAGAAGGATTGGGGCTCATACCTGCATCTCTCAAAAAAGCAGAATCAATCAACATAAGTAGATGTTGTTTAATTGATGAATGATAAAACTAATAGTTTTGCCATGTGGAGCTTTTACAGGTCCAAACAACAAATTGACCAAATTGCACTCAAGGCCCACAAATGTAGCTATGCTTCGTCCCTGGATATATAAGTTTCCACTATCAGCCTGAGCCTGCACATTAACCTACCAATTCAATTGATGGCATCCAGGGAGCTTTATGTGCAAATACAATGCAACTGTCGTGCCCTCAGGCAGAGCTGAATACATTCAGCTGTATGTGTTTGTTGTCATTCATTAAAATCCGAAGTCATTCCCAACAGATTATATTTGTCTCAGAGTGCACGTTAGCCAAATAGTTGTCTCATTTGTCGACCATACTACCATAACATGCAATCATGCAGAATTGCAGAGACTACTTTACATTGAAATTTTGCAACCACTAACGGTTCGAAATGCTCAGGAAGAGCAATCAGGGCAGACTAAGTATGTTTCTCGTTTGGCTACTTATTGTTACAAAGCTAGACATAAAGGATTTGTAAGCACACCAGGCCCTCCTATAAGACACTTAACTCCACTTGGACTTTGCTTTTCTAATTTAAGCAAACTTTCCTAATTACCTAACTTCTTACCAAATCCTTTTTCCCTAATTAACTAAAAATATCCTATTTCCTTGACTCCCGGGATGAGTACAACCCCCAGACAAGTATAAGACCTCCTGGTTGCTTGTGTCTTGCACCAGACACCACAGCAGCTAGTAATGTTGAAAATCATGTAACTTCAAGTTGCAAGGTTGGATATCCAGAGACATAACCAATCAAATAATAGATTTGGATCCAAGAATACAACTATGGAAATTTACAGACATGCCCATACCAAGTTGCAACTTGCAAGAATGACAATATGTTTAGGTACCTATCACACATTTACTGAAACATATATGTTGGTTCCTGGGCCATTTCGTGTAGCTTCAATCACATCATATTTGGCCGTTCATCTATCTTGGCCCATGTGGTCATTTTTAGTGTTATGTGCTGCATCTGTATCTGATCTAGTTTTAGCTGGGTGGGCGTGTGTGTTAGGTGTGCCTGGCATAGTTATCAACGCGGTAAAGCAAGATAAGGCGACAGGTTACAGCTAGGACACTTAAGCGGTAAGGCGTAAGGCATGGCGACGCCATACTAGTATGCCAACCAAGGGATTGTGGGGGAGAATGGCACACCAAAAAGGAAAAAGGAAAAAAGTACAAAAGCGGAAAAGGAAAAATGCCACCAGGCCATGTAATCCATAGAAGCCCAACAGGCCCACAAACCTAACTGCCTAGACTAAAGAGAACAAAAATGGCAGCAGTCATCTGCTCATCATTGTTGGAGGGGGGGCAGGTGCCACCGCTGGAGCATGGGCTGGAGGCGATAGTCCCTTTGTGATGGAGTGTCGATCAGAAGCAGCAACCCCTGCTACTGTAGCACAAACTGGAGGCAGCGTCTGCTGCTGCTGGATCGACTAGAGGTGATCACTGCTGCCAGTGCTTCTGGATCGAGGGAACTCCTCCTGGGCGGTATCACACACTTTTCTCTGTCTTGTGCTCTATTTCTCCCCCCACTCCCTATCTGTCTGTCTCCCGCTGGAATCTCCTGCTGTTTCCCCCCTTCTTCTCCTGCCCCCACCAAAGGACACCTCATATGGCTCCCGACACAAGTGATTTCCCTTGATTCGGGTGCCAAAGCAACAGTTTTGGGATGCCATGCCCGGCGGCAACATACATATGTAAGGTGAGTCGTCAGGCATGGTGTCAACCCTTAGTAACCATGGTGCCTAGGACTGGGAGTGGGCATTTTGCCTATGTCCTATGTATTTTGTTCTCTTAATGAAATGACACGCGGTTGTCCTAAGTCGTTTGAGAAAAAAAAGGACAGTTTTGTCCCTTAACCACAGATATGAGCCTAAGAAGATGGAAATGTTAGTTTCCGTCTTTAGAATAGTTGGAAAAGCTATATCTTGCTGGTGCGTACAAACATGTCATAACACACTACTTTAGATGGCAAAATCCACCTTCTTGAATCATAGAACTTCTTGAAGTAAAGGTATATGGAAATGAAATTAACATTTCCAGATGTCAAAAAAGTAATGAGTGGAAGCAAAACTATTTACACATTTGGGTCAATTATCACTTCAAGGCTACTTTTCACATAGCTAGCATCATAAAGTAATCATTTATTTTTGTCAAATAGACAACCATTTCATTTTCCAATAAAAACAGTAAGGAGATTGTTAAATCAAATAACACAAAATGACAAAAACTAACCATTTCAACTTAGGATCAGTAAAAACAGGCCCCTTCTTCATGCATCCAATGTATGTTTGTGGATGTGACCGCTCTTTAGCCAGAAGCAAGGAAAGTCTATCTGCATGAAGAGAAGTAAGCAATGTAAGCAGGAAAGACGCCTATTACTCAGTTACTATAAGGAGACTTGGAATACTTTTACTCACCTGGTCTCAAGTAAATGTCATCATCCGCTTTGACATAGAAATCAGAATCATACAATGCATAGGCAGCCTTAAAAAAAGCTAACCTAAAACATAAGACAAAATAAGCATCCTGAATAGAGACAACATAATGATATGTAAATACTTCTAATTCCTTACGTTTTGTATGGGAGCCTGCTATACTCCTCTTCGAGATCTAAAAGCACAAAATCATCATATTCTTCAACTTCTCTATTAAGAGCGGCCATCTTGTTCTTTGAATTGCTTTTCCCAATCACGAACCGGAATGCCAGACCAGTAGCTTCCTCCAATCTGCAATGCAGAGAATAAGTGGAAGTGTGGAACCACTGTAAGGCATATAGACAGCATCACCACCAGACGGAAAACAATACTATGAAACCAAAGACGGTAATAATTGCCAAGCATCATGGTCAGAACAATTGGAAAACAAAGTGAAATTAGAGAAAATTCATGTTGCTTGTATATCTTACAGCTGTTGTGGGACTGATTTATCACAGGTAGGCGAGATTTGTCACTGAAATCATTATGCGCTCGAAAGATCAGGCATAACAACTATACCTCAAGATTCAAACTAATGAATTGCCAATGGAAGTGTCAAGTTTCTAAGAGCTTAGGAGTGTGGGTGTGTGTTGTAAGGGTTCTTGCCCCTTTTTTCTTCTTAATACAAAGATACGCAGCTCCCCTGCGTGTTCAAGAAAAAAAAAGAAAAAAAAAATGGAAGTGTCAACTGAGAACAAGTACAAATACAACAAAGGGTGAACCAGTTCATGTGGAAGAACAGCATAGTCCACATTCCTGAAGAGCACTAAGCACTAGGAGAGTGGCACCTATGGTGTAAGTGGCCACTGTTTGGAAGTACCACTAAAACAATGCATATTTTAGCAAAATCATCAGATTCCATCACAAACAAAGAACATTATTGCAAATGAACTAGCACACAAAGAACCAATAAGAAGATATTTCAGAAATGCAGTTACGGAGCAAACCAGAGACAATTCTGCTACCATATAGTGATGTCTAAATTGACAAATGATATTTCAGAAATGAGTCACCACCGTGTGACGAAAGGTCCCAGTGTTCGAATCATGATCTCCAATTCTGCTACCATATAACACCCTTCCCAGACCTAAATTGACAAATGTTTTATCCACATTGACCAATACAGTAATTCATTTAGAGGTAGATCATCAGTATTTGTGATTTTGGTGTTGTGATCTCTGAGAACTAATTGGCAGTGGTGGAATATTGAGTGGATCACGTCTAGATATGAGAAATATCAAAAATGGAAACTGACAAACCAACCCTCATATAATTTTGCAACCAGTCTCACCATATTATACTAATACTACTATAAGAGTAGCCGGCTAGAAGTAACAAAATACATCAACAGTCCGAACTCTAAAAGTCCAGCTAGATCTCGACAGGCAGAAGCGAAAACGAACTAGCAAGCCGTGATACCAGCGACTGACCGAAGTAGACCCTGGCGATCCGCGGGGAGCCACGTCCGGCGCAGCGCGCGGCGGCGGCCGATGGAGCCGAACCCGGTGAAGATCCCGACGAAGGCCATGACCTTGTGGCGGCCGCGCGATCCGGTGGCGAGCGAGGCCGGGAGCACCGCGGAGCCCGCGGCGGAGCCATCCCCTGGGCGGCGGTCCCACGCGACGGAGACGGAGAGCGGGCGCGAGGAGTCAGGGCAGCGGCTGTGACTGTGAGCGACGGACGGGGAGCGCGAGAGGGTGAGCGCGGCGGCGAGGAAGCCGGCGAGGCCGAAGAGGAGGCAGGCCGCGGAGAAGGCCGGCGTGGAGAGCAGCCGGCGCAGCGCCCCGCCGCGGCGCGAGGCGGAGGAGGCGAAGAAGACCTTGGGCGAGCCCGGCATGGCGGCTGGCGGGTGGGCGGGTGGGCCGGCCGGCCGGTCCTCCCTGCGCGCGATGCCGGCACGACGGGGTGGGCGGATCGGACGGAGCTCGGGAGGGAGCGGAGTGGTCTGAGGCCACGGCCGTTTGCAAGCCGAGCCGGGGGGCCCGCCGATTGGTGCGGCACCTCTTTTTTCTCTTGGGGCCTGGCCTCGTGGGTTTGGCAAAGTGCCCAGGACAAAGAGGGCCATGGCCCATGTGGTGGATCATAGTATTGAGCAGCCAGCCAGCTCAGCAGAAATCGGAATGGGGTACGAAACTCGCATGAAGTGGTAGAGTACGGTTAGGCACAAGTATAGTGGTACTACAAGGTCTACGAGGAGAGTTTCAAAAAAAAAAAAAGTCTACGAAGAGTTCATCAAGGTGTCCTTTATGAATATTGACTTATGAACTGACATTCATCAAGATTAATCGGCCATGTGCTAGCTCGAGGAAGGCTGACGTGGCGCTACTCTTTCATCTCTTGTTATCGACGTCTGATTTACCAAATTGAATTTTTTTTGACACGCCAAATTGAATTTTCACGATTCTTTGCTTGTTTCTGTTCCAACTTCCAAGAACAATGAGACAAAGTCGATTTTTTTTTTTTTCTATATCGCGCTACTCCCTTTTTCTTTTTTTTTTTTTCACCGTCGTCACATTTGTAGTTTTCTTTCTTAGCGCAAAAGCATTGGTGTTGTCTTCTTGACTATATGATGTAGAGTCACGTAATTTTAACATAACTTAATAGACAACCTGTAAAATAATTGTCTTTTAAATTGTCTCATACTAACTCACAATTTTTTAGTTTATGCATAAAATAAAATTAAAGTTGTGAGCTGCATGATAACAACAACAACTCAGACGATGGTACAATAGTTGTCTTATAGTCCTAAATTTTAGCATGAGGCATTTGTTTCATGAAACAACGATCTCTCTCTCTCTCCTTTCTTCATATCATCAAAAATTCTAAATGGCATTGCATGTGATAGAGTATGAAACCGCTAACATGTAGCAATGTACTTTCCCTTATCGCGATAATATTGTTTTGGTTTAAGTATTAACACCCCCCCCCCTTCCAAAAATCTCCAAGCGGTGCCCAACAGGAGGCCGATTTGGACAATGCTTTTATTCTCACTCCTCTGTCTCTTCCTCTTCTCATCTACTCCCCCGTCCACAAAAGAATGCAATTCTCATTTCGAGAAGTCAAACAGTTTAAACTTTGACTAAATTTATATAAAAAGTACAAACATTTATGATACAAAGTAAGTACCATTATATTAGTTATAGAATATACTTTTATAATAAATTTATTTGGAGACCTAAATGCTAATAATATTTGCTATAAACTTGGTCAAATTTGAACTTCTTTTATGGACGGAGGTAGTACTTCCTTCATTCAAATCACAAGTCGTTGTGATGTTTTTTAGATATATAGATATGTCATACATAGCTTTTATTATGTATAGAAATAATGTATATCTAGATGTGTAACAAAAGTTATACATCTAGAAAAGACAACAAACTTATAATTTAGAATAAAGAAAGTATCCACCAAGTAATTCTCCCATGAGAGGTCAATTCAAGGTTTGCGCTCGATCTCTCTTTTTCTCCATCTCTTTCTCTTCGCATGTTCATTTTTTCATCTTGTGTTAGGGAGATGTTTGGTGTAGAGTAAAATGCGGCTCCACCCATTCAAGGCGTCCATATACTCCCTCCAAGTTACATACGCGCGGCGTATACGGCCGGCCAACGTATGGTGTACGATTAATCATGTACGTGCACTAGCTCATAGGCAATCTCATCTCTAAAGCGGTGAGCCATGCAAGAACAAACAAGCTATAGCAAGTTACGAGTGTGATTATACAGCCCCATGCATACGATCGACGTGCAAAGGTTGGTTCTCCTGCCTGTGCATCTCTGTGCGGCGTCCACGGTCCATGCAAAGCATATGCATTTTTACGTACACAAATCCTGCATGTACGTATTATTTCGTGGGCTGCCACGTTATTAGCTGGACCTGTGCTTGAGACAGCCGGTGGCGCCGTGGTGGAGTCCATCGATCAGATTCCAGAATCTTCTAGGTGGATGGACTATCGCACGAGATAGCTGCAGCAGATGGATAGGCTTCACCTCAGCGCACGCGTGAGCGACCGGGCGGAGTACCAGCGGACAGGGCGAGCCACGCCGTGCTCTCGCCTCGCGGACGCCGGCGGGCCGCCTCGCGCTGCCGCATGTGCCGGTGCCTCGCGCGCGGACGGGATGGAGACGCCGCCTCGCGCTGCTGCCTGTGCAGGCCGCTGACTAGGCTGCCGGCGGGCCGCCTCACTGTTCGCCACCACCTCGCCGAGCCGCGCGTGCACACCGGCGAGCGGCGTGCCTCGCCTCGTTGCGCCCTGAACGCGGAAGGGGGCGCCGTCCTGGATGCTCTCGGCGACACTCTGTGTGAACCCGAGGAAGATGACGGAGACGAGCACGAGCGGCAGATGATGAGTAGCAGCGCATGAGAGCAGGAGCGACGTGAAGTGGAAGGGGAGCTGGATGGATCGGGCGAAGGTGCGGAGACGGCTGCTGGTGCGGAGGAGGGTGTCGCGGTCGGCGCCTGCGCGGGTGATGCGGGGAGTGAGAAAGAGAAAGGGGGCAGGAGTTTTCTGAGAGGTCGGCATGGTCCCCGCATCCCGCTGCCAACGTGGCTGTGCCACCTCAAATGCTGGTGCTGGCGTGGCGGGTTTTGGATTATTGGTGTACGGCCATAGTAGCTTAGTCGTTTTTTTATTTGAGGATCCAGATAGAAATGCCTCAAACGTCCGTGAACCCAACATGCACTTTATTCTTTGGTGTACTATCAATCTCTTGTACTTGTTCTACGCGGAGTTTCTAATTGAATTCGATCTGGTGTGTTGCAACCGTCCAATTTAATCTGATTCAAATGTTTTATCACAGATCACTTAAAGCAAGCTACACCTGGTGATCCGTCAAGCCACAACACTTGGCTCATCGTGCACGCCAATGGACAAGCACTGTTCTAAGCGTTAGTTTAAGGTGGATGATGTTGTTTATGTCAAATTACAATCCTATGTTCAGAAGTCTAGCAACTACCCCAAATCAAAAACTCACATTCAAATTTTTCTTTTTTTTTGGTCCTCGTTTTTTCTCCAATACTCAAAAGATTTTATGGTGCTCGTATCTTGTCCAGTTGGCCGCATTGGTGCTGTGGTGTACAAGCTCGTCTTTCACTGACCAAACCGTCCCCAGCCAACGCCCATCCCTGCCGTTTCTCTCGTCTCGGGTCCGTTCCCGGCGTGACGCAGGACGCACACCGCCTCCCTCCTCCCGCTTCGGCCCGCGCTAGGTTCCGGCTCTCAGACGCCCTGGTAGGTCGCCTCTGCCCTGCCCTCCTCGCCCCACGCAAGCGCTAGCCCACCGGATTCTCGGCGGCCTCAACACCGGCTGGCCTACTGCCTGGCACCAGGGTTTCGATGCCACGACACCGCCCTGAAGCCCCCAAGCCTGGGTAACCTCATGAACCGTGTGTCCGTGATGATTTTAGTTAAGGGCATGTTTGGTACACGGGATTTATGAAATTGAACTGATTTCTGTGAAATTTCTACGCAAATCCTGTGAAATTCGTGCGTGCCAAAAAGAAGAGCTAACCGAGGTACTGTTCTTGGGGCCCTAACAAATCATAATTGGATCCAGGACATACAAGGTGCTACTTCGGTGGTTGTCCTTACTGAATATCTAAATCTCTGGGATATCCTCTCAGATTGTGAGCTGCAACCGGGAGTGCCAGGTACTCATTGCTGGAAGCTCGCCTCGTCCGTTCAATATTCTGCCAAATCTGCGTATGAAGCTTTCTTTCAAGGATCTGTTCTTTTTCGGCCCCTGGGAATATATATGGAAGACCTGGGCTCCAAACAAATGCAAATTCTTTCTCTGGCTAGTGGTACATAAGAGATGTTGGACTGCAGATCGGCTTGCCCGAAGAAACTTGCTCCACCCAACTCTTTGTCCTCACTGTGATCAAGACGAAGAGACAATTGACCACCTTTTAGTTACTTGTGTGTTCACAAGGCAGTTTTGGTTTTGTCTTCTCAAAAGTTTTGGACTCCAAGAATTTTCCCCTTCAGGCTTCAGCCGATGAAGGATGCTTTGATGACTGGTGGTGCAAAGTGAATAATCTAGTTAATGGACAGGTGCAGAAAGGTTTAAATTCTCCGATCATTCTCAGAGCATGGAGTCTTTGGAAGCATCGGAATCGATATGTCTTTGATGGCATGGCACCTAGTCTAGGGGTGGCCTGGGCGCTCACTACAGAGAGCTTCATTGGTGGATGTTGGCTGGGGCTCGAGGGATGTCCTTCGTGTCCGCCCCAGGCGATGTTGGGTCTCATTAGAGTTTATGGTTTAAGGTTATTTTTTTTTCTTTAAGCATCGGCGAGTCTGTAATCTTTTAAACCTTTGTACTTGAGGTTCTTCTCCCCTCTTTTTTCTTCTATAATATAATAATATGTAGCCCTCATGCGTGTTCGAGAAAAAAAATCTCTGATGTGACTGAGTGAGTAACAGCCAATTGCCCTTATGATTCTTGCTCACCAAGTCACCATCACAACACCCACAAGCATGTTGTTACCAAAATCTGAAGCTTTCTTATTGTGTCTGGAGAATTGGGTTATGGAAAGGTGTGATATTACCCATCAGGTCCAGTTTTGTTGATAATATAGTTTACAGAGAAGATTTGTTCGTTCGCAATCAATAAGGGAGCACATTGGATTTATTTATTTATGTATTTTTGTGCGTACATTGAACACTAACCAATCAAATTTCTCGAATTGCGTTCAATGTAGGGAGCGTGACAGCTTCATCATCCACCATGTCCGCTATGCTCTCCGCCATTACAATGCCAAACACCCGGTATGTCCATTTTACTTCATTCAAGTAGGAAGTCAATTATTCCTTATCAATTTCATTGCAATTTGTTCCTGTCCCAAGCTGCATGACATGACGTATATAATTGATCTTTGCCTGTAGGGTGAAGAGTTTGATGTTGTGAAGCCTCTGATGGAATCTTGCGTGCGTTTCAAAGGCCAGATGTGGTACCATGTAAACTTCTGGGCTCGCTGCCGCAAGAACAAAAAAGATTAAGCGCTTCTTTGCTGAGGTGCACTACCAGTAGCATTGTTCCAGTCCTGGGAGCTAGGAAGCCACCCAGCAGCAGCTTAAGGCTGTGTCTGGATCCAGGAGCTAAGCTAAAGTTTAGTCCACGTCACATCGAACGTTTGAATGTTAACTATAGGAGAACTAAACATAAGCTAATTATAAAATTAATTGCACATGAGTAGAGTAATTAGCGAGACGAATCTATTAAGCATAATTAATGTATAATTAGTAAATGTTTACTGTAGCACCACATTGTCAAATCATGGCTTAATTAGACTTAATAGATCCGTCTCGCAAATTAGCCTCAATCTATGTAATTAGTTTTATAATTAGTATATGTTTAATACACCTAATTGATATCGAAAAGATTCGATGTGACAGGGCTAAACTTTTGTCTATAGAAAACAAAAGTAGACTAGCAGTAGCTCTGTCTGCTTGGACGTACTATTTCTTGTCCCAGTTCCCATAGTTGAAGCATGCATCATCATAGGTGATAGGGGAAATAATTTGATTCACTGTTACCCTGTTTGTTTAGAAATCTCTGTTTTTCCCTGAATGTCTTCTTTTAAACTGATGCAACGATTTCATCACCGATACATGCTGCCTAGATAGCGCCTAACTGTTTCACTATTTTTGCTTGTTAGATTTTAGGTTGAGTGTTTGGGTCACATCCCAGGGGCGGCTGACCCCAGTCACGGACCCTTCTGACGACCAGCTCACGGACATAATCATCATCAGTATCCTGTCACAAGGTTCAAGCGAAGGTTGCCGCCAACAAAGACAAAATCATCCCTAGCGTGTCTTTGTATAAGACTCACGTGCCAGGTCTGAGTTGTAATTGGACCACAATTAGTTGTATTTAGCTATTGAGTCTTGTATTATGATCAAAACTATATAGCTAAGGGGCTACTGCTAGGGTGTATTATACATTAGGACCGCCTACTAGTGTGTTTAGCCCCGATTACACAACTAAGGGGCTTGTGAGGTAGTGTTTAGGGCCTATTTATAGCTTCTATAGGATTTTTTTTAATACAAGCTCCATCATGGAAAATAATGAAAACATCTCCTCCTACCTTCCACATAAAAGGGTAGAGGGGGACTCTTGCCTCCCACTCACTCAGTTCTCTCTTTCTCCACTATCACCCCTCTCATGTTCAGTCTAAGACCAACACAAGGTACACTCCACTCGGGCGTAGAGTTTCTCTTATCTAAGCAACAACATCTAGCTTGTCCAGATGATCAACCAGCAAGAAACGCTTTTGTTTGATGTTGTGTTACGTACGTCTTGTTCTCTGCACATAGAAATAGCATTATAGTTATAAGACAAATTCAAAACAAAAACATCATAATCAATAATACGAAACATCACATAACATTAGAAGGCGAGAAAACGTACTAAAAATTTTAACTATCACAATTGCCGAACCTGACAAGGACACCCTCGAGATGGTATTTTGGCTCATTTGATAATTGAATTTATTCATTACATCCTCAAATTGGGAAAATGTCATTGCTTATACACGTAGTATTCTTATATTAGTCTAGAGAAAGAATATATTAATATACTGTTTTAACTATTATATAAGGTACCTGCGCTATTGTTTCGTCAACGAAGTGCGTGGAGGTGCAGCACTGGTCATAGTATGAAACAAAATATAGAGTTGGAACCTTTTCCTGCTAAGTTGTTGCTCCTCGTAAACTGCGCAGTCTTTGCCGGTGTGAGAACATTTGATCGGCGAGTGGGGCATATGTAGGAGATGTGATACAACTGATCAAGTGTGTGGGCCAACTGATCAAGCGTGTGGACGAAATCAACACTACCAATGCACCTCCTCCAGCGTCGTATCTGCTTCCTTTGCACTCTTGGGAGCAGCACAGATGCGATACTAGCGATGGAATAACGGCTAATCGAGTTATAGAACTGCTTGACGCGAGAGGTCCCTCGTCCGGACATTCTTGGTGTGTCCCTGGTACAGTCTTTTTGACGCCAAGGAAGACGGGAATCTTGTCTATATGACAGGCTGTGCACAAAGCAAGCATATGCAGAAATGGCCAGTGAGGTGTTTCGGACAATAAAGGTACCGATCGTAATACACTTGTTGTTTTCTTTGCCTATTGTGTCATCAATGGGGAGCTACATGTCCTTACACTCCCTCCATCTCTTTGTATATATCGTTCTCACTTCCCAAAAAGTCAAACCAACTCAAGTTTGACTAATTATATAAGAAAATATTAATGTTTATGGTATATAATAAGCATCACAATAAATTTATTTGGAGATAAAAAAATGTTACTAATATTTTGTATAAATCTAGTAAAAGTTGAGAAAATTTGACCGGCACGTTTCTCATAGCGACAGGGTGGAGAGGCGTGTGACTAGGACAACAAGCACATGAAAAAACCTTAGGCGTACATAAGACCAGTGGAGCAGCCATGGCAAGCCCTCAGCCACCGCCGGTGAAAACACCCAAGCGTACAGAAGACCGCGCAGAGATTGCGGTGGCTAGGGTCGTTGGAGCTCAGATGCGAACTCACGGTGGGGAAGAAGCATGACGATGCCGGCGCGATGCGATGGGGAACGGGCCTGATGTGGAATAATTGATGGGCATTTTGGTCATTAGCCAGTTTTAGTTGCCATTAGCTGGGTTGGAACAACTAATGGGATTTATTGGTTCCCATTAGTCGGGAGACTTTTAGTCGAGTTTAGTTGTGGGCTGTTTGGATCCACCACAGCTGCTGGTGGATCCAAATAGGACCTAATTCTCTATCTGTAGTCCGCTCCGTGGGTACGTAACTTTCGTCCACTCATCATGTCTGTGCTTGACTGGTTTAGCCACTTCTCCTAATCTCTTCTCCCGGCATGACACCTGTTCTTGTGTTCCCAACCCTAGGTCCGTTCGAGGTGGCGGCGGCAGATCGACAACTTATGCTTTGGAACGTATATTTAACTAATAGGATGTTTGGTTTGAGATATGAGTTAGTCCATCATCATCTCACTCCTTACTTTTTTGTTTGTTTTGTGGAATGGATTGGGTTGATGCATCGTCACATCATTTCTCATAAGCTAATAATTAGTATTAGTGTGAGGAATGGACCCACGATGCACCGCTTATTTAAAATTGTTTAATTTTTCAAACCAAACACCAACTTTCAACATCTTTTGTATAGTATATGCCGTCAAAGGTAAACTAGTGCGCCCCTTTATGCAATAACTTTGGTTTGTATTGAAATGGAATGCAACTCAACGTTGACAACGTTATAAAAAAATTAACTCCGTTTATTCAGACACAAAAGTGCCCTATAAACCGTATTTATTCAAGACCACCATCCCTGTGAAATGTGAATTGTCGTACAACACTGCGCCAACATGTCGCTGTATGTCAGGCCCGTGTGGCCGTGTCAGGGTGGGTATCGATATTTTCAGGCGAAATAGCTACGTACGCCTGGACGAATGGGCCGGGTGACCTACGCTATATATCTACTGATCATGAGTGACAATGGGAGGATGGCAGTACGGGCCTCTGAGCCATCCCTCGGCGACCAGCCTGTTGACCGCCTCCGTCAGGTGGACGCCGTCCCAGGACTCGTGCCACGACGGCTCCCGGCATGCGGTGGCGCCCTTCATGCCGCATCGCGCGTCGAGCTCGAAGTTGTACCTGCCGCCGCCGGCGCCGCAGCACGCCGGGACGGCGCCGGTGCTGAAGCCGAAGCGCGCCGGTCTGCGCACCATCCGGTCGATGTGGGTGTAGTAGTCGGCGTACACGATCCTCACCGACGGGTACCTCGCCTGGAGGCCGGCGAGCCTGCTCTGGAGCAGGGAGTTCTGGTAGATGGACAGCTCGTTGAGTGCCTTCAGGCACCCGTACTCGTCGTAGTCGGCTGGGTCGTCGCTTGGGAGAAACGTGAGGTAGACCGCGAAGCAGCCCACCGGCAGAGCTCCCGGGACGACGATGTCCACTGCGCCCAGCTGGATCAGTTGCTGCGTGCGCGTGCGTACGTCCATGCAAGGACAGTCACAAACAAGTAGATGCCGGCCAGTCAGTTCAATCCGATCCATGGCCGCCGTACGTGCGCTCGTGAGTTAGTTGTTACCTCGACGCCGCTGGCGACGGTGTCGACGATGTTGGGCGTGTAGTTCCTTGCTTGGTCGACGGTGAGCCCGAAGAAGACCATGGCGTTGTAGTCGTTCCCGCCGAAGGGGCCGAACACGAACAGGGACCTGGCCAGGTAGTCCTTGCAGTTTTGTGCTTCCGGCGCAGCGCCGCCGCAGATGGACGGCAGCAGGTCCCTGAACCACTGGATCTGGACGTTCATGGCGCCGTTGTTCCAGACCGGGTAGCCGAGGCCGATGGACTTGAGGAACTCGAAGTCGAGGGCCGTGGCGCCCACGATGGCCATGCTCGCTCCACGGCGGAAGTCCGCGCCGTCCTGCTTCGACGGCGGGAGCAGCGGCAGCCCCAGCTCCTGAGCTGCATGCATTCGTTCTAACGTTCACCGCACCGGCATGATATGCATGCACATGATGAACAGATGGGTTTGCACGATTGAGCAAATGAACATATGCATGTGCGCGTGCGTACCGAGGAAGTCGACGACGAGGCGGCCGTCGGAGCAGCGGCAGGTGGGGTGGCCGAAGTAGGTCATGCCGTAGGGCGGCTGAGCGAAGGTGAGCAGGAGCTGGTTCGCCGCCGACTTGTTGACGCAGATGTTGCCCGTGTCGCCCAGCGAGTCCCCGAAGTTGAACATGACCTCGAACCTGCTGTCGCCGGTGCCGGCACGGGCCAGGAGGAAGCAGGAAACGAGCAGGAGACCAACGGCGCCCAGGGCTCGGCGATCCATGGCGCTCGTGGTATGCTGTATCTATCTGTCCAAGCACCAGACCGCGGATCAGAAATGCCGCCATGGCCATGTCCACAGACGGCTATATATTGTCTTGGTGGCCCGTTGCATCGAGAGTGTCCACGTGTGCGTGTAGTGCTCACGGGTTCCGTGAGAACTTCGCCGTAGTCGGCGGCTACCTGACCGGCTGCCGGCCGAACCACCTCGCGATAACCTCGGTTTAATGCCGCTTGGACGCTTGCATTCAGGTTGCAGCATCGTGTCTCGACATCGTCAATGCAAACGCTGAAACGCTGGCACGGTGCGTGCCGCGGCCGGCTCGATCTCGCTTCCCCTCCTAACAGAGCTCGTCGTCGCATCTGCGCGATTCAATGGCGTGCGGTGCGGTGCGGCCGGACGGCCGCGCGGTGACGAGGTCCCCCGCGTCTGTTCCCCAGAAGACGGGGAAGCCAGGGACGCCACGTTTAGCCGCGCGGTGACTGCAAGGATGGTTTGCCGTGTTAGCGGACAGGGGAGAGCACAGAGCAGAGCACGCCTTGAAGGTTGGCTTTGAGTGATTGGAGTTTGGTGCCGCCAAATTTGGTCTGCCAGACTGTGGAACCTTTGTCCCATACTCCCATCATAGATTCTCCTCATTTAAGTGCATTGAAGCAGTAGTCTCTTTTGAAGATTACAATTTACACGGCGTTTTTGTAACTCTCAAATGCTGTCCGTCTCGGGCTAAGCTTGTGACTTGAATCGTGACTGAACCTTTTGGAACACCGCCCTACTCCATATGATTTGTAAACAAAAGCAAAGCTCTTCCCCCCTGTTCAATTACCCCTTTGACGTTCATACTAGCACGGTTTTTTATGCCAGCATGCCCCCGAATATACATATAATTACTTGATCTTATCTGCTTCAGTTATTGTAGTTTGTGTTGCATGAAGGTGCACAGAGGTGTTACATAATCTTAGTGATTTCAAGTCCTTACTCGTGTGACCATTGGGCTTCAATCACTTAGTTTTTGTTTTTTGTTACATTTGTGTGATTTGTCCCCTCAAATTGCTTGAGATCACTCGAGTTCCAAATAGACAAACCCTATTAAAATCGCACGCTACACAAGTGGTATTAGCATTGGTGTCACATGATGAACACGAGAGAATTACTATGCTTCAATTGATTATTTCTTGCTGATCACCTCCATCATCTTCGTGCCTGCTTCGATTCCAGCTAAAAAATACAATTAATCTGATTCCCCTCCCCTAACTTGAGTGGCCCGGCCAGCAAACCAACCAACCAGCTACAAGCCCCCCGAGTCCCGGAGCTCTATGCCGAGATGGCCGGGTGGCAGTAGGCCCCGCTGACCCATCCGTCGGCGATCTTCTTGTACGCCGCCTCCGTGAGGTGGATGCCGTCCCAGCTGAGCGACGACGACGGGTTGGAGCAGGCGTAGGCGCCGGACATGCCGCAGCGCGCGCTGTTCTGGTAGTTGTACTTGCCGCCGCCGGCGCCGCAGCAGGCCCTGAGGTTGGTGCTGAAGCCGTAGCTTCCCGGGCTCTTGACCATGTCGTAGACGTGGCTGTAGAAGTCGGCGTACATGATCCGCGCGCCGGGGTACTTGCTCTGCAGGCTCGACACCTTGCTCTGCAGCAGCGAGTTGTGCTGCGCCGACAGCGCGTTGAAGCGCTTCAGGCAGCCGTACTGGTCGTAGTCGCCGGCGTTGGAGGTCTGGTACAGCGTGAGGTAGATCGGGAAGCAACCCACGGGGAGAACGCCGGGGACGACCACGTACATGGCGCCTAGGCTGATGAGCTGCTCCACGCCCTTGCCGATGGCGTCCACGATGGTGGCGCTCTGCCCGCTGGCTTGCTCCGGGGTGTAGCCGCCGAAGATCTGCGCGTTGTAGTCGTTGCCGCCGAACTCGCCCAGCACGAACAGGGACTTGGACAGGTACGACTTGCAGGCTGCCAAGAGAATCGAATTAGTGGCGTCAGTGAGCAAGCGACCACCTCATCGATCATCGTCTTCCATGGTGGACCATGCGTGCGTGCATGGGATTTAATGGCGAGCGCGGCGGGCATTGATGCCGTGTCGTGCACCATGTACGTACCCTGCGTGGAGCCGCAGATGGACGGCATCAGCTGCTGGAACCACTGGATCTGGGTGTTGAGTGGCCCGTTGTTCCAGATCTTGTCGGCGATGCCCAGCGACTGGAAGAAGCCCGAGTCCATGGTGGTCGCGCCGATGATCGCCATGTTGGCGCCCTGCTTGAAGTCGGCGCCGCCCTGCTTCGACGGCTTCAGCAGCGGCAGCCCGAACTTCTCGGCTGCATGCGCGATACCAAACAAAACATAATTTTTCAGCGTGTCACGTCGCGTTCGTCGACAGAGTGAGTGGCGAGCAGAGAAAGGTGCTCTGTTTTTCTTTTTTGGAGGGAAGCGGCGCGTTTGAAATGAACGTGCAAAAAGAGAGTACCCACCCAGGAAGTCGACGACGAGGCGGCCGTCGGAGCAGCGGCAGGTGGCGCGGCCGAAGAAGGTCTCGCCGTAGGGCGGCTGGGTGAGCGTCAGGCCGGCGGGGGGACCGTTCACGCACAGGTTGCCGGTGTCGGACATGGAGTCGCCGAAGCTGAAGATGGCGTTGAACTTCTGGCCAGAGACGGACAAGAAGGCAGAGGACACGGCGAGGAACACGACGGCGAGCCGAGCCGCCATTGCTGCTGCTGGTGTCTACTAGGCGTGCTCCGACTCCGAGCTGGCTAGCTAGCTCGATCTGCGCTTATACTAGGCTGATGTGATGAGCATGCGTGCAGGGGCTCCCTGCTTATATAGAGGGCGTCAATGGCGTGGGTTGGGACGTAGCTGTTGCGCCATTAGCCCACCTCGTGCCAGTCCCCTTCGCTGGGCTGCGTTGCCTGCTTAACTACTGGACTGGTCTACCGTCACTCGGTTGTTGTGCATGCATGGGCTGCTTTTAGTTTTTTTTCTCTTCGTGTTTTCTTCCTCATTGGAGGAAACTTCTGCTTTTCTTCCGTCTTTTTCCTTTCTATTCTACCGGTTGTAGAGTGTTTTTTCCCCTCGTGTTTTATCATATCAGTATCAAATCTTGCTCTGCTTTTGGTAACCACTTTCCAGTTTTCAAGATGTATCTTTTGTTTAGAGAATAAGTTTGTATATTTCCGGTATGAGATGGCTCAAGTGTAACATCATCAAGGTCCGAGTCATTTACGACTCTTAATTTGTGCTCTTTTACTTAATGGGAACATATATAGATCTTTTCTGAATATTATGTCTGTTAAAAAAAAGAGCTCACTTTCCAAAAAAAAAGAGCTCAGAAAGGAGTGGTGTTATTTGTCGTGATCAACTTTGTAATAGATCAATTTTGTAATAGATGCTGCCTACAAGAAAGGCTGGTTCAATGGGGCATGAAAATGTGGGTTAGACATTTCCTCCTGTTCCTAATCTGTGTCCAATAAAAGCAACATGATTGAATGTTATGAAGCATGGGAGCGCGTATAGTATACTGTACAAGTTGGAGTGCTGGGCCAGCTATGTTTGATGCTTGTCTAGTATAGGAGCCATTTCAATACTGAAACTAACACCTTTGGCTTTACCCTAATCATTTTCCACTAAGTTGTATAATCTATGTAGCTGACACCTCATACAAGTAGGAATATCCTTTTGGTTAGCTCTGATGCTCTGGATTCTTAGTTCTTTTGGCAAATACTAATTCTTACAAACTCAGATGAAATTATCTGCTCTGCTCCCCCTTGTTCTTCATTAACATACATTTTTCTAAAACTGAGAAAAACAGCTGCCACTCATAAATGTTGCAGCGCTTTCAGTTGAGTTGACTCAGTATAACTACAAAAAAGATTTTTTTAAGAGCTTGATTAGGTAACCATAGTCTGTCATGGAGATAGCATCATCATTGAGTTCATATATTACATGGTTTCACATTATTTCGTACTAGTTGTCAAGTAGTAGTTGTTTGGAATTATGGCCCAAAAAGCTGTGCTGGTTATGAAATGGAAAGCTGCCTGAAGACTGCTCCTAGACTCCTATAACTGGATGCATCAGCCAGCTGAGCAGCAATGGTTGTGCTTGTGTTGTGTCAATTAGACGTTACCCTCGTTGCTTTCTTATCCTGCTTTCCCGGTTCAGGCAACAAGTAGCAGGTCAAACAGCATTGTCACAACAGGATGGCCGGCATCTTGAGCCGCATGCATCTGCCAACACTATATCAAATGCCATGATATAAACTATACCAACTTTGTATATACATAGCATTTTATATGACTTTACAGTTAAGAAAAAAAAATGTTGGTTCGTCGTTACATTTGTAGTGGTAGTAGTGCTCGATCAATCTCCATGACACCTACACCTGAACGTCAAAAAGCTAGGGCTCAACAACTCCAATAACATGGTGCGAGGAAGGGACACACGCACTAGTAGCTACTATTCGCAGCAGGCGATCAGGCAGGCGGGCGCCATGTCAATTCCTTAGCGAACTTGGTACCTTGTAGGCCAGGACATGCCAATGCTGGCGGCGATGCAGTTGCAGTCCGTTATTATCCAGAGGAAGAAAACTGCGTTTAACTTTTGTAACCAAATTAACGGATTATCATCGTCCTGTACGTTTGGGCTGGTTTGGCTTATAAGCTATGGCTAAAAGTACGGTTGGTTGATTTGATGTGAGAAAAAAATATTATTCGTTGGCTGATAAGCCATGGCTTATAAGCCAAATACGACCAAACGAACATGCTGCATATCATGTATATCGTCAGACTGTTGGATTCAGAACTTTGGATCAGGCATCAGCTGCTGTCAGTCACAGTGTTGTGACTTCTCTGTCAACCTCAAGAATAGGTAGGTAACTGAATGAAGAGCATCAGTTCTCAGATTTTTTTCAGCAATCAGCAGCTAGATATTTCTAACCAGAAAGAATTCAGCAACTTGGGAAGTATTTTAACAAGATTATCCGCATGGCTAGCTCATCCATGACCATGACAGAGTAGTATATATCTGAGACGGACCGACGTCAAAGCTAGGTAGCTCATCTTTTGACGACCCTGGTTCCGTGTTGCTTCATCATCATCTGTCCCACACCCACATTCCAAGAAAGCCTTGCATACACATCATCACAGGATCGACATCTACTCCTAAAACAATTGCACTACTGTACTTGTTTAATCGGTTACAACCTCTGGTATCGATAATTGGAGCCTGTACATGCATGCATACGAACACCAATTAAGCCACCAAACGATGAGATGAGGAACCCCAACAACTCGAGCCGCCGCTCGCTAGCTTTAGGACACGGAGCAGGTACGCGGAGGAGGCCGGCAGGCATTCATCATCTGCAAACGGACAGGGCGCTCCAGTACGACCGATCGTGGACTAATGCGACGACGCGATGCCAAAGAGCGGCCGGCGACGTGCGTGGTGCTGTGTCTTGCAAGCGAACACGCGAACCTTCCAACATAACCTCCGGCGGGCTAGCGAGCTAACGCCCCTGATTTGATTCGTTTCGCTTTTCTAACGCCCGGATTTGGGGTGGAGGCTGGAGTTGGAGCGGAGTGTGCCGGAAGCAACCTCATCTCTTGTGTTTGGTTTGGTGCGTACTGAACCGTGTCGCCTGAATTTTGGTGGTTCGTGATGAAACGGAGTTTTCTGTCCGGATTGGATTGTTTTGCAGAGTACCTAATACTAATGCTATGCTTGCAGCTATAGTTGTCCATGCAGCCCGAGCCACGACGCCACAGCACGAAGCCCGCTTTTTTAGCTTGACACGAGCACGGCACGGCCCGGTGACATGCGGGCCCAGGCTGGCCCGGCCCGAGGGAGCTAGGCCGTGCCTGGGCCGCTGCTCAGGCCCATGGGCTGGCCTGGCACGGCCCGACCTGCGTCAGCCGGCCCGGCATCCCCCTCCCCCTCCTCACTCCTCCCCCCCCGCGGCCCAGTCCCCCATGGCCTGCTAAAGGCCCATCGGCCATCGCCCCTAACCCTAACTCCCCTTCTCGACACCGACAGATGGCCTGCGCCTCGCTCCTCTCACCTTCGCCTCGTCCCTCTCTTCCACACGGCCGCGCCGCATCACCTCTCTCCCTCGCCCCCTCTCCACGACTTGCCGGCGGGATGCGCCGCCGCGGGCTCCTCTCCTCCGCGAGGACGCGCCTCAGGAGCGAGCGCGGCATGCCACATGCCCGAGTTCCGTCCCGCCACTGTCTCGAGCTCGGCCCGCCGAATCCCCTACGCCTGCCTGCTCTATTCGCCAGATCTGGCATCGAGGGCCTTGAGGGAGAGCGCTCCGGCGGCCGACGCCACCTCCTCGCCCCCCGCACCAACGGCCGCGGGCCGCATGCTCCTCCTCCGTGGTCAAAGCCTCAAGCGGCCGATCTGAGGCCGCCGCTGACCGTGCCCGGTGCCTCTGCATCGCCTCGTTATCGCGCCTCTGCATCGCCTCCCCGGCCTCCTCCACGCGGTCACGTGCCTCGACGCCATCACCGCCTCCGCGTCCTCCTCCACGTCATCGCCTCGAGTGCCACCACGGCCGCAGGACAGCGCCTCCGCCTCGTCCTCGTCCTCCGTGACTCCGTCCTCTCTCCCTTCCCCTGCTGATGCAGGCCTCGGGCCGGCCTGGCCTGCTAAAAAGGCCGTGCTTTCTGGCCCGGCCCGGCACGGAAAGTGGCCCAACAGGCCGTGCCTGGGCCATCGGCCAGGCACGGTGGACTGGGGCGGCACGGCCCGACGGCCCGTCGTGCTCTACCGTGCCGTGCCTGGCACGGGCCCGGGCCGGGCCGGCCCGAATGGACATATATACTTGCAGCAAGAATTCAGTTCAAATGTACGGGAGCAAGTTCAGTTAGGATGTTGGGCCTCTATATAGTCATGCAGTATACTGAAAAACTTTCCTCAGAAACAAATTGTAAGTACTACTGAAAGTTTATATATGGAGCAGGCAGCATCATGCATCAAAATATGAAATGTCTTTCATTAATTTCTTCTTTCTAGGAGGGAGACACATCATTCAGATGTGCCAGCCCATTTTTCCCACCAAACATATGCATGAACATGAGGCGTCTATTTTAATCTGTTCAGTTTATCTGTACTTGCATATGCAATTGGGTAATCCAGTCGTTGGCCTATTGGCGTCAGGAACATGGGCGACTGATTGCCTGCAAACTGGCTGAAGGGGGGACTAGTAAACTACTGAACATGCGATCAAAACGAACTAGGGCCTCGTTCACTTTGCAAAAAAAATGAACCCGATGAATAGTACAACTTTCGTCTTATTTGGCAAATATTGTCCAATCGTGGACCAACTAGGTTCAAAAGATTTATCTCGTGATTTCCAACTAAACTGTGTAATTAGTTATTTTTTTACCTACATTTAATACTCCATGCAAACGGCTAAAAATTGATGTGATGGAGAGAGAGTGAAAAAACTTGGAATTTGGATGGCATCTAAACAAGGCGTAGTTAAAAGGAGCATTGTACATCTCAAGCTATGTTTGGTTGAGTTTCCGAAATTGCTTTTGTTGCTAAAAAGTAGAAAGCAAATGAAACAGGTGAAATATAAAGCTGTTTTTCAGAAAAGTTGCATTGTTGTACTATAATTTCAGCTCATGGCTTGGACACTTGTTTTTAGTTTGCACTTTCCGCTTTCGCTGAAGGCTGAAAATAGACCGGAGACGTCAGATCAGAGGTGAATGAGAATGACTTGTTTTAACCACGTAACTTAAAACTTTTTCGCAACACATAACTCATAATAGGTTTTTTACAGCTCACGGATTGCATTGTTGATTTTTTTTGACAGCTCATGGCTCTCTATTTAATGGCACAGACCACAAAAATAATTTATTGCACTTTGTTTCGTAAACGATCGTAAATTTCAAACGAGAACGAATCTTTTTCTCTCACCAAACCAAACCAAAGAAATAAATAATTCACGATGATCGGACTCCCGAACAGGTATAGGGCGCTGAAGGCTGAAAAGTCAGACCGTTTGCACGTCAGTTCAGAGCCGTGAATGAGAATGACTGGCAGTAACATGTTACCGAACCTAGCTATCCTGAAGATGCATGGTGACGTCCGCTGATTTGTGTCGCTTTAAGGCTCACTCCATCATCCGGCCGTACCCGTACAGGACTGACGACGTCGAGTGCATGCGATTAGACGCTTCATGTGCTGACTAATTAACCCGCGTCGGCTCCGTACGAAGGTGTGGGAGTTAACTAGTACTCCAGGTTATATACGACGAAGTGGCGAATTCAGTGTGTAGATTTTGCATTTGTGTCACGGAAAGCTCCGTTTCTCCCACAATCCTTCAAAAGATATATAGATTTCTTCTTCTTCATATCCGAGAGACCGAGAATGCCCACACGAACGGCCGGCTGCTTATGCCACGACGTCGTACTGAACTTAGTTTATTCCGTTGGCCTAACGAGAGGAGGCGTGTGCGTGTCTCAGTTTAGCTCAGCGGTCAGCAGCACGTCAACGCCCGGCCGCCGGCCGCCATCAGCGTCATGATAACCAGTCGTCAGTCACGTTAACATCATGAGTTCATGGTGGCGCTACCGGAATCTTCCTTTCTTTCTTGATTTGAATATGATAGACAGCCTCATCCACAACGAATCGAACAAGGGGCGGCTCATGCATCGTCGCTAAACAAAACCAAGTGTACGTGCAGTGTCAGCACGAGCAACGAACTCGCGGCACGGCCTGGTACTGACTAAACACTGAACACCGACAGGCAAATTGGCAGGCTCAGAAGTTAGAGGAGCCTGGCTGATCTCTGTTGTCATCAACTCTCGCGAGTACCATAAGTCCAAAATGCGGTTGCGGACATTACTGCCGGCCGGTCTTCACCGTACCTGAGGCGCCGGCGAACGTTGGATCCGATCCGACGGCGGATCTATCGCCGAATCATAAAGGCGCCGTCCTCCCATCGACACCTCAGAAGCAGCTCTCCGTCGCTGTTGCGCCAGCGAAGCCGAGACGGGGCGCACGCTACGCCGGGCTCTCTGGTCTCCGCTGCTGAGCGTTTCACTCCTGCATGTTTCCCTCGAAAGCCCGGGACTCCCATTGCTCGACCAGCGCACTTCTCGGCACGCCATCGATCGGCAGCCAGCCGCGCGTGTGCAGCACTGTGCAGACACTGTTCACGGAATCTATTTCTCTCCTCCTCTCCCTTACTCTCGCAGAGCTGAAAAAGCTAGTTTTTTCTGGCTTCCACAGCTTCAGCTACAGCACAGACACAGTGAAGGAGCCGGAGCGCTCGAATCACTACCAAAGGGGCCTGAATAAGTCCCTGACAAAATCCAGCAACGCAAACTGCCGGGCAGCTTTGCCTAATCAGCTGCCGTCGTCCTTTCCCTGAAGGATGGATAGCTTCTCAAGCTTCCTTGCTAGTACTAAACTGATATGATGATGAAGTTGACTTGGTGCTTCCTTGCTACGGCTCTACGTATTCCATGGGTGGTGTCGGTGTGGTGAGTGCGTTGGTGAGTTGGAGTTTTCCGGGTGGTTAGCCTGCCGGCTGCGCTGCGCCACCGTGCGTCCGTACCGGTGGGTTGCCATCTCGCCGGTCCTTGCTAGTACTTTTTATTCCCGTGCACGTACACATGGCCTTTTCCGTTCGTTAATTTGTTTGCCTTCCCTGCGGGACATGGCTTTACGTGCCTTCCCTGCGGGATATGGCTTTACGAGCATGACACGTTCTTAAACGGTGCATGTACATGATGTACTGTTCTCAGTGCTCTGGGTCTGTGCACGCCAGCACGGTTATCGTCGCTAAACCTGCTAGTTGTACTCTCTCCGCCTTAGAATATAAGGTAGTGAAACATTTAAATTTTGTTCTAAAATATGAAGCCCGACTTATCAGCTATGGTAGTACATGGTTTTTCTCTCACAACAAAACATCATCAACCGGTTTATCAGCCACAAAAACTATCAGCCGAACGGCTTCATGCATACCTGCTATTAGTGCTTACCACAAGACTTAAAATATTGTAAGTATAAAGTCTCTCTATAGTTAAGATAGAGTTCCATACGTCATCTGTGTTACCCCATAATTTATTTGAAACTTTCTAAATACTTTATCGGACATGCTAGCGTCCAGGACGTCCGATCCGGAGTGCTAGCGTCGGATGGTGCTGCACGCCAACGAGTACGCGTGATTCTCTCGTACAAGTGGGACCGCCTGCGCCGCTCCGTTCAACCTACAACCGCTCCGTTCTGCACGATGCCCGCCCACGCCCGCTCCGCTTTTCGGACCACATGCGCCCCATGTGGGTCCTAGTGACCTGCCCCGCCTGTGGATGCGCGCCTTAGATGCATCCGCCGACCTCAGGCGCCCGCACGGTGACCCACGAGGCGGCACCTAGCAGCTGCAGCAGGCGGATGCGACAGGTGGGTCTCATTGCAATATCTGCAATACCCAGATCTACGTTTGCAACATCCAGATGTAACACGTGCAACATATGTCCGAAAACAGCTGAAACACTTGCAACATATGTTTGAAACACCAGGAAAACACGTGTGTAGCCATTGCAATCATATGAAACATCGAGATGAAACACTTGCAACATATGTATGAAACACTTGAAACATACGCTTGCAACATACATGTATATGCAACATTCAAATCTACTTTTGCAATACCTAGATGAAACACTTGCAACATATGTCTTGAAGCAGATGAAACATTTGGAACATACACTTGAAACATACGTGTATAACAATTACAACATGTGAACATCCTGATATATTTTTGCAACACCGATATAGACCACTTGCAAAATATCTCTGAAACACCTGAAATACTTAAAACATACGTTTGCACTTGCACTTTCAGCGTAATATCTCCTTGCTGCTTGGAAATAGAGGCTCGTCGGCGCGTGAAGTTCACTAGTATAGTGCTCGTCGGTGCTGTAGAGCTCGCGGCTCCGGTGGAGAAAACCACGGTAGGTTCGGTAGAAAAGACCACTGTGGGTCGCTCCGGTGTAAAAGGCGGACCGCGCGTCGGAGAAGGCCGCGAGGTGAAGAGTGGAGTGGGCGCGCGGGAGGTGGAACCCGGAAAGGTGGGGGACGCGACGTGTCGCTGGACGGGGGAGCTGCGCGACACGGAATGGTGGCGCGCGTGGGGGATGGAGCCAGCAGAAACATGTGGCGCGGGCGGGAGCCAGCGAACGGCGCGGTGATTTTTGCAGTCCGGGAAGCGGGCGGTTGGACGCCCTTCCAAACATTTCCGATACTTCGTATTTTAGGATGGAGGGACCGGCCAGCTTGCATGTATTAGTTCGCGCCAGACGATTAGTCGCTGCTAGTCACTGACTCACTGTCACTGGTGAAATTTGTTCGTACTGCTGATTTCTTCCGCGGGAAAAAATGAGAGCAAATTTCGTAGGGGCGGCACGGCACGGCACAGCCACCTCCGAGACTCCAACATGGGCCAGGCCGCCATGGAAGGGGATAAAGATCTGGCCTAAAGATTATCTCCCATCGGAAGGCCGGTCCGTTTATTGGGCCTGCGTGAAACCTGCAAACATGCCCTTTCCGGCCTGGTACGGACACTGGCACGGCTCGGCAGAGCCGGGCTGGCACGTAGCCACGCTCACGGCCGAGGCCTGCCGTCACTTGGTCCGCGGCCACGCGCGTGGCGCGTGGTCACAACTCACAAGTTCCATTCCATACAGTCACGACGATCCAGCCATGCAGCAAGGGCCTCCGGACTTTGACCGTTGTGAACGGGCTCGACCGCCTTCTGCCGGGCCGGCCCACCGTCTCCCCCGGTGCATGAATCTCCCCGGAATCCTTGCGCCCGTGTTGGCCGCAGGTGGACAAGCCCAGACGAGAAAGCTGGGCCCACGCGCCGAAGCGTCCAACCACCCTGACTCCCCTCTCGATGAGGAGAAAATTGAATATTTGACACCCAATCTGCGCGCATGTGAACATTTGACATCTAATTCGCACACCGTTGAAAATTTAACACTATATGTGCGAATTCGTTGAAAGCAGGTGTTTTCTCCTTCTTTTTTCCATTCAACATTTTTTCTATTTTCTTTTGGCTTCCAAGGCAAGGTTGAATGACCAAAGTACCCATTAGCCTTATCTCTTTATGGAACGTATCTGCTGGATGAGAAGCATTGCATTCCTTCCCTCTCTCTCTCTCTCCAGTTTCTCTCTTTCTCTCATTGCCTCCTCTCTCTCACGAGTGAACAGAAGCTGCTAGGGTTTGGTCCTCGGACTGCAGGAGGAGCTTTGGGTGGCCGGATCAGGCCGGCTATGATCCCCTTCGAGGTCCCCCCAGGGTAAGAACGCAGATCCCTATCCCTCCCCTGTCCTCTCCAAGGTTGTTTTTTTGGATTTGGGGGAGAAGCATGGCTGATGCTCATGGTTATGTTCTCTCTCTTTTTTTCAACTCGGTAGGGTCGATCCGGATGGGGCATTTAAACTATGTGTTCAGGTTTCACCTTTCACAACAAAACTAGATAATGCTAACTCAGTTGATGTTCAACGCAAATATGATGAATGGGTGGTGGACTATCGCTATTATAATTTGCAGAACTTAGAAAAAGACCTGACAATTAGGGCCAAGTGGGGAAGCAACCAGCATCCTGTAATATCTGAATTTGATATGAGCAAAGGTGGGGAAAGGAAAATAGTGGATGATAATGATTTGTTTGTTGCCTTCTCCGAAAGACTGATCGATAAGAAGATGTTTCTATATGTTGATGTGAAAGAGAAACCTGTAGAATTGGTTGCAACCTCAGTTGTTTCAGAAGCAACAGAAACCTTGAGCAATGTGGTTAATGATAATAATAGTGCACCAGTGCAATCAAGCTTTGAGCCTGCTGTTGAACATGGAATTGATTGGGATAATTTAGAGATAATTCCACTTACAGAAGATAAGATTGGTAGCACAGTCCCTTTGATGAGTGAAGATGCAATGTATGAATTTCTTGGTCTTAGAGCAGAGGATGAGAGAGCAAAGAAAGCTAGCTTTGATGCTGAAAATGAAAATGAAACTAATGCTGGGCCTATGGACCTAGAGGGTGCTGAGTTGCCTATTGATGATTGTATTCCTGGTGAAGATTCTATTTTTTATGACAAGGAAAACCCTCCAATGGAAGTTGGAACCATATATGCTAGTATGAATGAGTTCAGATCAGCAGTGAGACAACATGCTATAATGGGTCAATTTGATCTTGGAACAGAAAAATCATGTACAACATTATTCAGGGGCTACTGCAAAGCCGAGGGCTGTCCATGGGCTATTGTAGCAAGGTTGATGAGTGATAAAAAGCATGTTAGGGTATACTTTGCTAACTTTTTGAGATTTTCTGATTGGACTTTTAACTAAAATTATTGATATGACAAACTTAACTATATTTTTAATTTTACTAATATATGCTATTTTGATTGGCAGGTTACTTTGAATAAGGAAGAACATTTTTGTTCATCCACTGGGAGGGTGAGGACAAAGATGGCAACCTACCATTGGGTAGCAGAGAAGGCAATCCCTTTTCTAAAGAAGGACCCAAACATGGGTCCCAATAAATTACAAAAAGAGTTGGAGGACAAGTATCAGGTCTCAATTGGATATCATACAGTGTGCCTCGGTAGGAAGAAGGCAGCTGAACACATTTTTGGTACATGGGAAGAGAGCTTTGGATACTTGTTCAATTTCAAGGCAGAGGTTGAGCTCAGAATGCCTGGAAGTGTTGTAGAGATAGATGTAATACAGAAGCCAGATGGTGTATATTTCCATAGATTCTTTTGTTGTTTCAAACCTAGCATAGATGGCTTCCTAAATGGTTGTAGGCCATATCTGAGTATAGATTCCACGGCTCTCAATGGTAGGTGGAATGGACACCTACCTTCAGCTACTGCTCTAGATGGACACAACTGGATGTTTCCAGTTGCATTTGGATTTTTTGATGGTGAGACAAATGACAATTGGACTTGGTTTATGCAGCAGCTGCAAAAGGCAATTGGCAATCCACCTTATCTAGCTATATGTTCAGATGCTTGTAAGGGCATAGCAAATGCTGTGAAGAAAGTGTATCCTTGGGCAGAACATAGAGAATGTTTTGTCCACTTGATGAAGAATTTTGTCAAGAAGTTTAGAGGGCCTGCATATGGGAGAATGTATCCTGCAGCTAGGACTTTCCAGCCAGAATATCATGAGTACCTGATGAATAAAATATATGAAGCAAGTTCAGATGTGAAGCCTTGGTTGGAAGAACACCATAGTTTGAAATGGTCCAGGAGCAAATTTTCAGAAGAGATAAAGTGTGATCACATTACCAATAATCTTGCAGTCTTGGAACAATTGGGTGAAGGAGAGCAAGGACCTTCCCATAGCTGATCTTGCAGACACTCTTCGGTCTAAGTTCATGGAGTTGTATGCAAAAAGGAGAAGAATTGGTGAAAAATTAGAAGGCCATGTAATGCTCCCTATTGTAGTTCGCCAACTCTATGCAATGAGTAGGCAATTGGGTCACCTACATGTCAAAGAAGGTGGAAGAGATGAAGTAGAGGTGACAGAGATCACTCAGAAGCACAAGATCATAAGACATGTGGTTAATCTTACAAATCATGTATGCACGTGCAGGGAGTGGCAAGTCTCGGGGAAACCATGCCCACATGCATTAGCACTCATTACTACATGTCGAAATCCTAAGATGCAAGATTATATGCATCCTTACTATTCAGTTTATCATTTTAGGATTGCCTATGGTGGTGTCATTAAACCATTGCCGGACAAAACTCAGTGGACAAAAGTGAATCTTGATTTTAGGGTGCTGCCACCTCTATCTAAATTGCCAGTAGGGAGACTAAGGAAGCTTAGAATTCCTGGCTGCATGGAAGATAAGGGAAACAAGAAAAGGACCAAAGGCAAGTGGCAGGTACAATGCAAGACTTGCTTTGCTTATGGGCATAGAACTGGATCCCCAAAGTGCCCGCTTACTGGAACTAAAAAGAGGTACAAAAATCTATTTTTCTGCTATTTGAGTGAAATAGATTTCTTAATCTCAACCCTTTTAATTTTACAGGAAGAGTCGTGCCAAGCAAGGGAGGCCTTGTAATCCAGTTGCCTCCAACAAAGGAGATGCAACTATTGGTACACCTAAAAGGCAAAAGGTTGATGCGCAGGAAAGTTCAACTCCTATGCCAGTTACAAGAAGGTACAATAGTTGAATCTGTACATTTTATTCTTTCCGTTTCCAAACTGAACATTTACTCTTTTTTAGCCAACTGCAATTAACCATGGAGAATATGGGAGAGACAAGTCACGTCAACATTAACCCAGGACCTGTTACAAGAAGGTAAAAATCCTTGTTCAAATGAAGGACAAATTTTGCAGCTCGTTCATCTTGCCTAAGACTTTATGTTTTTCAGTCAAATTGGTGGAGCAACAGATCCTATGACTACCCCAACTAGGCTAAAGAAGTCTCCAACAAAGAGAGCTATCAACAAAAAGCTGACTCCAAGGAAGGGGAAAATTTATGCCGCATGAGACAATCCAAGAATATTGTCATATCTTTTGTAATTCTAAATTCCCAGGGACATGTGCACTAGATGATACCTCTACCTATGTTAAATTGTGGACCTCTTAAATTCCTAAGAAACCTTGTAATGTATGTGGTACTGTGGCATCTGTTTGGGTGTAATGTATGCATGATGCATCTGTGGGCAATGGAGAGCCACGTGCCCTCCAGCAACGCCAGATGTACATGTACTTGTGGAACCGTGAAGGAGTAACACAACCTGTGATTGGCTCTGAATTATTTGATCCTCAGTGGCATGTTTCTGAAGTCTGAACGTGAAATGATAGTATGTGGCACCACATGAGGCGAACTTGTGCTTGTTTAATTTCCCTGTCTTTTGATTCAGAGTATGTATGTATGTTGTGTGTTGCCGTCTGAAGCATAAGCACCAAGGGAGGGAAGAAACAGGCGGTAGGTATTCTTGTGCCTGTGGTAGAGCGTGGTATCCTTTGTGTGTGTTCAGCTCTATGTGCTTGCTTCCAGTTGTAGATGGCAAAGAGTTGCACAACCCCGACACAAAGTGAGGTCTTGAGTGAGAACTGAAAACTGAATCGAATCGAATCAAGAATCAATTGAGAATTTTCTTGGTCTTGGTTTGGTTCTGGCGATGCATGTTGTGATATGGCAAATGCAATGATATATATATTTTCAATGTTGCAGGAGTAAGAGGCCACAGAGGCATAGGTTCCATTACTTCAATTTCTTGCATTACAGGACTACTCAGTTACAAGTGATTGAACAAATCGGCTTCATATACATCATTCACAAATTGCACCGATGCACAATTCACAAAGATTTGCACAAAAAGAATTGTTCATAAATCGGCTTCATATACATCATTCACAAATTGCACCGATGCATAGTTCACAACACTGCACAAAAGAATTGTTCATCTCCTTTGCCACTGGCCACCGACAGGTTCAGACAAAAAAAATCACATCTTGAACTTCTGTACTCGGTCTCCTCAACGCTTTGAGCGCTGGTACTCCTTGGTCACTGAACCCGGCGAAATCGCAGCTTGAAGGCGTGTGTCCGGCCGGGTCTTCTCCACCGTCAGGTGAATTCCTCGGTCGCCGGATCGGCGACGAGGTGGAGAATGTGGGTGTTGGGCTCGTCGAGATTGGGGGCAAGGCGGAAGAGGTGCGGGTGCCCCTCAATGATGGAGTCCTCGAAGTCGTCGGGGAGGGCGAGCTCGCGCTAGACGCGGAAGATGGCGCGGAGGGGCAGGTAGCGGGTGACCGACATCGCGAGGAGACGGTGGAGCGTCCAGCGCGTGTCGTGCGGGGGGGCTGGCGACGGAGAGGAGGCCAGCGGGCGGCGGGGGTCGGGGAATGAGCGGGGCGGGCGCGCGAGGTGGAACACACGTGGGAAGAGGCGGAGGAAGTGGAGAGGCATGGCGGTGGAGGCGGAGCGGGGGCGGCGCGCGAGGTTCGATAGAGCGAGCGGCTCAGGGGCGAGCCCTTGCGCGTCGATGTTCATTCTCAGAAAAAATGGATGGATAAAAGGCCAAGGGTACTTTGGTCATTCAGCCTTGCCTTGAAAGCCAAAAGAGAATAGAAAAAATATTGAATGAAGAAAAGAATGAGAAAACACCTGTTTTCAACGAATTCGCATCGAGAGTGTTAAATTTTCAACGACATGCGAATTGGATGTCAAAATATTCAATTTTCTCCTCGATGAGGCGCCATGCCGCCGACATGAACGCGCGCGGCGCAGCTGCTTGGCTTGGCGCCACCCGTGCCGCCGGCACGCACCAGGTGACGCCAGCGCCTTGCGTCCGCCGCGCTGCCGTCCCAAACCGAACCGACCTCGCTGCCTGGAACGACGCAGACGTGGTGTCTCCGAGACGCCGACTCGCCTGCATGCGTCCGTCTATATAAAGCCAGACATGCCATGACGGGGCACACATCCAAGAACCGACGATCCAGAGCAAGCACAGCACCGGTGCGGGGTCTTCCTGTCTGTCCTGTCCATCGGCACGCACGCACGAGCACAAGCAGCGACAAATGAGGCCGTCGATCGTGCTGTGTTCGGGGACTCCATCACGGAGGAGGCGTTCGGGGAGGGCGGCTGGGGCGCGTCGCTCGCCAACCACTACTCCCGCTCCGCCGACGTCGTGCTGCGCGGCTACAACACGCGCTGGGAAGCACGGGTGGCGGCCCGCGCTGTCGCCAGCATCGCCGGGGCCGTCTCGGCCGTCACCGTCTTCTTCGGCGCAAACGACGCCGCGCTGCCCGACCGCCGCTGCGCGCTCCAGCACGTGCTCCTCTCCGAGTACAAGGACAACCTCCGCGCCATCTGCGCGCTCCTCAAGGTCAAACCAGTTCAGTTCAGTCCGTGGGCACGCACGCGACCTGCATTTCGCGGCGACGGCACGGCACTGACTTAGCTCATCCTCTTGCTCTGTTTGTTTTCCAGAAGCGGTTGCCGTCGGTGGTCGTCATCTTCATCACTCCGCCGCCGGTCGACGAGGACGGGCGCCTGCGGTGAGTGATCGATCGCGATGTTCTTTCGTTCGCACGCTGCGCGCCGCGCGCCGCGGCAATCGATCGGCATTCTTCGATCCTGATGGAACGGAACATGGGGAATGCAGGTACCCGTACGCGCAAGACTTCTTCGGCCTGCTGGAGCGTACCAACGCGGCGGCGGGGGTGTACGCGCGGGCGTGCCTGGAGGTGGCGCGGCAGTGCGGACTCAGGGACATCGACATCTGGTCCAGGATGCAGAGGTTCCCCGGCTGGGAGAAGTCGTTCCTCAGGTACGCCGCACGCTACGCACTCTGTCCTGCTGCCCGCTGCAGACTCCAGACGGAGATAGTAGTGGAAGAACTCAAATGAAATGGAAATTTGCCATTTCTTGCGTGCTTGGGAAGGGACGGGCTGCACCTGACGCCGCGCGGCAACCGGGTGCTGTTCGAGGAGGTGGTGTTCGCGCTCAAGGACGCCAACCTCAGCCTGGAGGCGCTGCCCGCCGACCTGCCGCTCTTCGGCGACATGGACCCCGACAACCCGGTCAAGTCGTTCGAGGACCACGAGTGAAGGCCCATGCATGATGGCAAGACGACGACGACGGCTTCAATTCAAGTCTGGGAACTCTCTAATGTTATTTTAACTAAAAAAAATGGGAACTCTGCGTCCTTCTGTCGATGGAAGGTTCTGGATGGATTTTTTTTAATGGAAGCATAATTCATGCAGTAGTGTTTTAGTCTGTTGTAGTATAAGTTTGTTTCAGGTCCATTCTTTTACCCAAAAAATTTCAATAATAATATATACAAGCGGGTTTGTTTGTCTTATCAGTAGTATGTTGTAATAATGCTTTGTTTCATTGTTTCGTGTGCCCCGTAATTTTATTGGATGAACTTTGTCAGTATCTGTCAAATTAATTTTCTTCTGCCTCTTGGTGAGAAATGAAATTATGAATGTTTTTTTTTCCATTTTTATTTTAAAACTGTCTCTCTGTGGATAAGGAAGACTGGTGGCCTTACTTCCTGTCCTGGGCCTCTGAGCCAGCAGGCCCATCCCATCCACCATTCTCATTTTCTCAAAGAGTCACGTGCTCATTCACATCATGCGGCCGTTAGGGAAAAAATCGATCACCAATTTTTTTTAAAAAATAACGAGATTTCTATTCATCTGCCGGCTGTTTTTCTTTTCTGTCATCGGTCGTTTTTTTCTGTTTGTGTCACGGGCTGGCTTTTCTTCATGGGCTTGCGTCCTTCAGCCCAGTTGTTATTTGGGTAGGTGCTCGTGTTAACGGGAAGGCGGAAGGACTCCGTCATGTTTCAATCCGGAATCCGCATCCAATTATTTTTTCGAAATCTACGCCTGTACTGTTTCGTTTTGACTCGTTAGCTGACTCTGTTTCTCTTGTGTGTTCCTGTTCATCTTCCAGAAGCGGGCGATGCGATCCTTGCTGGTAGCAGCGGGAGCGCCTCTGCTCTAGCACCTCTCCCCTGTGGCACTTGTCGATTCGTCGCCTCCTTCAAACCGTTCGGTGGAAGAGCCCGTTCGCGGTGGGAGCGTCTCTCTATATTCTTTTTGGTTGCTGTGGATTCGTCTCCTCCTCCAAACCTTCCGGTGTAAGAGCTCGTTGGTGTTGTTTTTGCGGCGGCGAAGGTACTCTTCCCTTACCCTAATCCTTTTTTAGTTTCATTGTCCTTTGTTGGATTCTGTGTGTTATCTGAATGGATTGTGTTTTCATTTTCTCCATATGCAGACATCGCTGCCTTCAATTTGTTTTTTCAGTGCTCTATTGTTTAGGCAGTTGATTCTGCAAGTGTTTGGTCTTGATTCGCCAGATTCTGCAGGTATTTTCAACACTATCTCATGCCTTCTTTAATCTCTCCTGAATCATGCAGAACATCTCACGGTCAGATCCCTAATTTGTGTGTTGTGTTAAAATGTTTATTATGATCCGTTGTGTGGTTAGTTTGATGGTTATTATTAATTTTTGTTTATTTTGGGGATGTAAGATCTGGGTTTCCTAGATATGCTCAAATGTTATCTCCAGTCATATGCTTTTGCAAATGGCTGCTTCATGAGTATTGTGTCGTTTTCAGTAGCAGTGGCATTTTCTTAGTAAGTATTGTAACTAGCTGCAGTTTATTAGTTAGTATTGCAACTAGCTGCAGTTCGACACTAGTAGCAGTGGCAGTTTCTTGCGAACCGAGACAAGCAAGCAGGCAGCGAGCTACAATAGATGCATGCATGAGGTGAGATTAAGAAGACATCCTGCCGACCAGTCCTGGAACCAGATCTTATTTTGTGTCTGGTACTCTGATGAGCGTGACAACAACGGCAGCGACACATCCGATGCTAGCTACTAGTAGGAGCCTTTAACTCTAGAACGAACAACATCAACATTACAAAAGGCTAATAATTCTGGTACTAGTGTTCTCCTAGGAATGGTCAGCATGCATACACGAGTACGTGATACATGTGTGCAAATCCATGAACGAAGACTGCTGCCTGTAATCCATGAACCCTAATAACCACCATTCATTGACAAATTATTTCATTAACTTTAGTGTCATTAATTTTATACTCATTTTAAGTTTTAATTGATTTCTTAGTTTTTTAGTTTAGTTTATCAGCTAGAGTTCAGGTTTCAGAGTTTCTAGACTTTAGTTTCAGGTTCATTGATATGTTGAGTTTTTTTCAGTTTCAGTAACACTGTTTGGTGCTTTCAGTTATAAAACTTTAGTTGTTTCAGATTTAGTATGTCTGTTTAGTGCTTTCAGTTTTTTAGTCTTTGTGAAGTTCAGACTTGGTTTCTCCGTGATACCTGTGTCGCTCCTATGTTTTGTAGTCATTGTGCTTTTCCTGTTGGCCAGCTGCTTGTTTTCTTCTTTGCTAATTAGCAGCTTGAGCTTGAAATTTTAGTGTAACTTTAGTGTCATTCATTGTCAAATTATTTCAGTATTTTTAGTGTCATTAATTATATATTCATTTTAAGTTTTAATTGATTTCTTAGTTTTTTAGTTTAGTTTATCAGTTAGAGTTCAGGTTTCATATTTTCTAGACTTTAGTTTCAGGTTCATTGATATGTTGAGTTTTTTTCAGTTTCAGTAACACTGTTTAGTGCTTTCAGTTTTAAAACTTCAGTTGTTTCAGATTTAGTATGTTTGTTTAGTGCTTTCAGTTTTAAAACTTCAGTTTTTTAGTCTGTGTGATGTTCAGATTTGGTTTCTCCAAGATACCTGTGTCGCTCCAGTAGCATGTCATTGTGCTTTCCCTATTGGCCAGCTACTTGGTTTCTTTGCTAATTAGAAGCTCGAGCTTGGAATTTATTTCAGCATCACATCAGTTTAGTGCTTTCAGTTTCACATATCTGCCACAATATAAGCAAATATGTTGAGTTTCAGAGTCACACAAGGTTTGGGGGGTTCAGTTTTGCATGTTGCATGCAGTAAGAGCTCTTGAAAATTTAGTTACAGTAAACCTACCTTTCAGTTTCAATTATATTATGACTGTGCACATATGTGCCACCATTTAAGCAGATATGTTGAGTTCCAGTTCCAGTTCCAGTTTCAGTAACTCAAGGTTTGGGGGTTACAGTTATGCATGTTGCATGCAGTAAATAAATTTTAGAGCTCCTGAGTTACAGTTAACCAGTACGCTAAAACTAAATTGTAATGCTTTGAATTCCTATTTGAATGGAAGAAGGCTGCAGCAGGGGCCGAATAGTAATTTTCTGAAGACAACTATTGGGCTTGTAGCTGAAAATTGCAGTGCTTGTCTACTTCTGTTGTAAAACTATGGGCTGCTATTTTCTGTTATCTATAAATTTTGGTGTATGTATGAATAGCTTCATAAAGTTGACAACTCTGTTTATTATAGGACATGTTAAGTTCAGAACCTTACCCTTTTCTGAAACACAAGTTACCTGAAGCTGTCTGAAAAGTAATTTATTTTGCAACTGAAGCTATAGACGGCTGATATGACTTTGTAGCTCCGAAGTTGTAGTTTGTGTAGATGTTCATGTAAACTGATTGGCTTTTTGTATCTTTGAAGCTGTAGCTTTTGTCAGAGATCAACTACATCAACATGGTGATGTCCAGGTATTTAATTATCCTTCTGAGAAAAACAGTAGTAATTATTTTCCTTCCTGCAACTGATTATGTATTTTCATTTATTAAAGGTCCTATGTGATAATACAACCAAGCATATTAAAGTGTCTATCTAAATACTGAATTTTCCTTGATTGTTTCTGCTAGGTTTCAATTCTAGCCTACCCCAACTTGTTTGGAACTTAAAGGCTTTGTTGTTGTTGTTGTATCTAAATACTTAATTGGCTTGCTGCTACTTTCGGGAAGAAAGTCAGGCTGCAATTTCCTTTCTGAATTTTCCTATTCTGCTTGCCTCTCTTTTAGTTATGCAGCTTGTTTCATATCTCCATCTGTTATGCAGGTACCCAAATAGCAGTAGCAGCAAGCTAGCAACCAGCACGGTATAACGAGTGCTGGTCATCAGGTTTGCTTTGGAAAACTAGCAGCTCGTAATTATCTTTGCTAACTCCTCAATGCTTAATTTATGATTGCTGGGATGTGCTTCTTTAATTATTAGTAGTGCTATGGTAACTGCAACTGCTAGTCTGTCCTCCCTTTGCCTACACTAAATTTAGTTGTGCTAGCAAGTATCAATTTGTGATTCTTTACTCTATTTTTAGAAAAAAAAGGAACACAAAGTGTGATTCTTCTTTTTACAAAGAGAAAATGCATGCACGAGAAACTTGGAGGGTGTATCTTCAGAAGAGATCAGGCTGACAACAGGCTAGTAAGCTGTGAATCTTGAATCTGATGTTTTTTTAGAATCTATTTTAAGTTAAAGTTCAGGTCAGGTATGTAGAATGTAGGTTCAGTTCAGTTTAGTATCCTGCAGTAGAGTTTCATTGAACTCAATCGCATCGTGATTCAGGTACTAAATTTCAGTTTCTTCGTGCAGTAGAAGTCCATGTCTCTATCTTGTCTAGCTGTGGCTTGTTTTGTTCAGAAGCAGCTGTAGCTTGAGTGCTTTATTCATTGAGTACAACTAGCTGCACTTCATTGGGTTTATAGTTGCTTTATTTATTTGCAACTCAGTTTACAGTGGTTCATTGAGTTTCAGAAAATTTGGGGTAGTAACTAGTTGAGTTTAGTGTGGTTTCATTTCCTGTGCAATGTCATTTTCATGATACAACAATCTACCTTTATAATTTGTTCCAGGCTTAGCTGTTGTGTTTTTTTATAGTGGTTTGTTTCTTCTATTAGTCTTTTTTTAGTTTGAACTGCATGGATGCTTGTCCCGTTGGTGGATGGTTAGCTGTAGGTTAGTTTCATATCAATGTTTTAATGGTTGGTAATTGAGCCTTTCGGTTTTTAATATTTGAGAATGTGTTTGCCAGCATCGACTCTGCAAGCTACGGTCCTTGACAGTGTCCGGAGAGCGGAGAGTGGAGGTCATTCTTCGTCTCCGAAAAGATGGAGCTGCTCTGGGTACTGGACCTGGAGGGTGCATTAGGTGTACAAGATGAAGACTTGGAGCAGATGGTGAAGCGACTG